CTACTCTTAGGTATGTGATATCCATAACCCTGACAGTAGCCCCCGACTTCGATGCAATTGAACGAATTCATATTCTCAACCGCGCGCAGACTTTGGAGTAACTGTTATCGAGCTCATGTGACCGTTCTCGATGAGTTCAGAGGTGTCACAGCCTGATTTTCGTTTTAGGATTTATAAATTATCTAATAAATTATTAATAGAATTTATATTAAATGTTCTTTAATTTACAAGTGAAGTTAAATGTGGGAAATAAAACTTCCTAAATATAAAGCATGGTTGGATTTAATTTTTTTTATTAAATTCTCCATGATTAATTTTACTCTCTGAAATTTTCTCGGATTTTTTTCAGAGCTCAATTCCTAAATGATACAAAGAACAGTTCAGTAATTATTTAATCATTAATGATCTAATTATAATTGTTAAGAGCTTTTCTTGTTTAAAAATCCTTAAATTATAAATTGTTGTTTAATTGGAATTATTAGAAATAATTATAAAAGCCTACAAGAGAAGCTCTAATTTTAAATAATAAATTCCAATATAAAAATGAGCTAGATAAAATTTTCTTAAATACTTTGCTTGATTCTATAGTTCCTAGATTTTTCTAGGATTTATTTGAGCCAAGGAAGTATTTTTAATAAATGAAATTGCATTTCATGAATAATTATAATTGAAAAAGGTTTTAAAATCCTCTTTTGGCTTTGGGCCGAAAGTCGGCCCAAAACCCTCTCTCTCTCCTCCCGGCCCAAGCCGGCCCGCAACCGAGCCGCCGCTCTCCCCTCTCTCTCTCCCGCTGACAGGTGGGCCCCACCTGTCAGGGTCGTCGTCAACCTCGCGCCGCCGCAGCCGTGCCCTAGCCGCGCGCAAGCCGCCGCCGCCCTTCCAATTTCCGTCGCTCATTTCCATCTCTGGCCAAATCGATAGAGGGGAAATGATCCCCGGGATCCCCTCTATCTTTTCTCTTATGGAATCGTCGGCTAATTTCGTTTGGAAATCCGTGGATTCGAGTTCGATTCGGATCGATCTCTCTCCTCCGAACCCTAATCTTTCCTTCTCGTCGCCGGTCGCCGTGGGCCTTCACCGCCGCCTCCTTGCCCCTTTATAAGGACCCCCGAGCTTCCCTCTACCCGCCGCCACCCTCGCCTTTGCCCGCCGCCGCCTGTAGCGCCCTAGCCTCGTGAGCCCGTGCACCGCCGTCGCCGCCGTTCGTCCAGCCGTGCGCCGCCGTCGCTCCGGTCGTCGTCACCGCTCGGGGAGGTCACCGCCGTGGTCGCCAAGCCGTCACCAATCTCGTCCGCCCCTCCGTCATCGCCGGAAGACCACCGTCGTCGTCAACCCGACCGTCATCGCCGCTTCTTCCTCGTAGCCGTCACCGTCCGGTCGCCGTCCGCCGCCGTTCATGCCTCGGTAAGGATCGCCGCGTCGCCCTCTACCCGTTGGTGCCCTCCGTTCGCGCCGCCGCGCCGTCGTTCGCCGGCAAGCATGCGCCGCCCGAGCCGTCGCCGGTGAGACGACATCGCCGATGTCATCGCGCCGTGTCTCGTGGACCGCCGTGGTCTGGATCGATCTCGGCCGTTCGTTGTGGATAGGGTTGATCTAGACCGTCCGTTCCGTAGACCGTTCCTGTGCACCCGGTCCACCGTGAACCTGAGCCGCTGACGCAATAATCCTCTTTTCCTTTTCAAAAATAATTCATTATTGCGTCATAATTCAATAAAAATCCATATAAGTGTTTTAATCCGATTTAATCTTTAAAAATTCATAACTAATTCATCTTAGCTCGGATTTAGTTGGTTCAAGTCTCTAAATTTTTCTAAAATTGAGATCTACATGTTAAAAATATCCACATGTACTGTTCATGCTTGTTTATGTGCTGTTTTGGTGTTTTGCTCCTTTCTGTTTAGATTCCGACGTTTCCGGAGAGTTCGTTTTCGCAGGAGAAGAATTTGAAGAGTTTCAAGGCCAGCAAGGCAAGTCACACAGATCCCAAACAACCCTTTGAGCATGTTGATCCCGTTTAAAGCTATTGTTTCTATTCAACTATTGCATTTATTTTCGAATGTCATTGGGTGGAATTAACCTATTGTTTGTTATAGCCCTTTTGTTCTTGATTACTTTATTCCTTGATACCTTGGGTTATTATAACTTGACTAGTTGGGCTATATATATTGGTTCAGCTAGATATTAGATATGATTGCTTAGCCATGCTTAGAAACATTAGCACACTATTGGGATAACTTATGACTCACTATTATTTAATGATGGCTTAATGATAGCTCACGATGGCCAATCGTGATTGGTTAATTAATTACTTGCCAACTAAAACTTGATAATGGTGGGTTGTGAGCACATGGTTTTGAGAGTCGTGCTCATGACAATTAAGGACCGGTTCACGATTTTCGGTTGTGAAACATTAACCGTGCCAACCACAAGCCAGCGTGGGCAACGGCTTTACCTTTTGTATAGCATGGTTCATTGCGGAGCACCAGACTGAGAAGTGGCGGAGATAAGCCCACGGGGGTCGCTGGGGAGTCCATGCCTTGTTTATAAGGGGGTGACTATGATCCGGGAACGGTGCACTGTGGTGGATTGTGTTGTGCGAGGGGTAATGTCACAGCTCCTTTCCGAGGTACCGTGGTGGTATTGAGGCGCATGGTGACATGTTGTGGGGCTGTGTCTTGTGGGTACAGTGGTACACCTCTGGCCAGAGTAAAACTATTCGAATAGCCGTGCCCGCGGTCATGGGCGGGTCTAACAATGTCTTTCGTGATTAGTCTCACACTTCTCACCATAATAAATGATGATATAATTGGTAATAATTTGTTTAGCTCCTGGTTTGGAGATAGATCTGTGCAGCCGGGTATGGTTGTTCAGGATGGTTGGGCCTGTGCAGCATGGGTGTGCTGTTCAGTGTTGATTAATATTGATGATTAATTACTCTATTGTTTTATAATTCTCAAATGTTTGCTAAATGCTGCTTTTGCAAATGAGCCCTATATTATGCCATCCTTTGGTATCCATGTGCACTTGCATATTTGCTGTGTGGCTTGCTGAGTATGTCATATGCTCACCTTGCAATAATCAATCAAACCTCAGTTGAAGACAAGTTGCGAAGGAGAAGACGTTTGGCTTATACCCCAGTTGAGCTGCCTGTGGGAGTGGAGCCGGAGCTTCGCTAGACCGTAATTCCGCTGCTGTTTTCTTTTCTTTTGTAAGTATGTAACGTTATTATTATGATGGATTTGTATATTAAATTGTCAGTTTGTGTACCTCGGCTGATTCCTGGACGAGGATTTTATGCACAAATAAGTTCGGAAATTACTAGTGAATTTCTGGGCGTGACAGGAGGTAACGTTAGACTTCCTTTATTAGCCTCGTGCGGGCACCTAAAGGGTTTGTCTGAGTCAACCTCTGACGTCAACCAAGAAAGTACAGAGCAGACGACTTAGTCTCCCGTCTTGCTGTAATTGAGAATTTGGATTGAAGTCAAGAAATTTTATCTCGGCGGGTACACCATCTCTTCGTTCCGTATTCCTTGTCGAGATCCACCAACTGTTCTCGAGCAATCGAGTAGGCGTAGAGTCTGCGACGGAGCCTTATCAACATTTGTCGTACTCGCCTTAATCGATCTTGGTGTAGAACCATAGAGACATGAAGTCTTCGACAATGTCGAATAGAATTTTCCTGAAATCAATACTCAAAAAAAATATTAGATAGAAATAGCCCCCGAGCGAAAGCTCAAAGGGTAACCAATGTTATAATATGTATGGAAAACCGAAAATGAATTAAACTTACAGACCAATATTTTGTATATGAGCGTCTACTCTTTTACCGACTTCGATCAGTCAGTCTGTTGAGTTATACACTCTCCCTAGCCCCCAGCCTTGTCATCGGAGAATCGTTCTCGGAGGATAAGGCTTTTGGACCTTTGACCTGCCTCGGTTGAATAAGCACTGATCCTAGCCCCCAGTCGTGAAATTGGAAAATCCATTTCTTATTACACGGCTTGGTTAATACGCACGGCGAGAACTCTTACACGACCAGATCTTACATGGTCTTTCGTCTCTAAAGGATCCGACAATCCTTATCGGCTCTGGGCGTCCCCAGCCGAAGTTCCCTTTGGTTCCTCGGAGGCCTTGTCAAGACGGCGTAAAGGGACAATAGGATAGGTTTCAACGCTAGGTGTCATCGTGGTAAGGGATCCCTGGGTAAAACACTTGGCGATATTGTGTATCTGATGTCAACTTTGTTGGAGTAGAGGTAATGGAAGAATCGCTACACCTCTGGTCGAGGACCAGGTGGTAGTCGTAACTCGACCACTTGAAGTACAAATAGTAGGAGAATCGCTACACCGCTGGTCGAGAACTAGGTAGTAGTCGTAACTCGACCACTAGAAGTGGAAAAAGTGGGAGAATCGCTACACCTCTGGTCGAGGACCAGGTAGTAGTCGTAACTCGACCACTTATAGTGGAAGTAGTGGGAGAATCGCTACACCGCTAGTCGAGGACCAGGTAGTAGTCGTAACTCGACCACTAGAAGTAAATGTACGAGAGATCGCTACGATTAACTGGTTGAGAACCAGTGAGTAGGTGTCTCTCAATCATTTGGAGTCGTGGTACGAGGACCGCTACGCTGCCGGTCGAAGACTAGTCGTAGCTGTTCCTCAACCATCTGAAGTCATGGTGCGAGAGATTGCTACGTTTTACTAGTTCGAGAACCAGCGAGCGAGTAGAATTATCTCTCGAACACCAATGGAAGTTGCGGTGCGAGAGATTGCTACGTACTGGTTCGAGGACCAGCGAGCGAGTAGAATTATCTCTCGAACACCAATGGAAGTTGCGGTGCAAGAGATTGCTACGTACTGGTTCGAGAACCAGCGAGCGAGTAGAATTATCTCTCGAACACCAATAGAGGTGCTAGAGTTGGTTTATTATGTGCATCTCATGTGGCCAGCATGACTTACACACCCAACTTGTAGCATATCTGGATGTCCGTTCGCGATCATGTCGGGTGATCAAGCTGACGGCGTTCGCAAGGAATTATCCGTTAACAACCTTTTCTCGAGTAGTCCAGCCATGGCCGGTGCTATGAGATAGGTCGTCGGTCTTCGTTGGTGGGTTGGGCGCGACGACTCTGCATTTGTCGAGATCGTTCTCGATAATGCGGTGTACTTGACCACAACCTACTCGAGTGCTCAATTGTTCCTAAAAAATATTTTCTAGAAGACAAGACATATAGCAGATAATATCGAATATGTACTCAAAAACTGCATGGATCTTCTAGCATTATCAGGATATAACGAGCAGATGTAAATATCAGGCATTATGTAAACCGTAAACGAGCATGTTTGCATGTTTTATACAGAAGAGAATAGAGCGAGCCCCCAGCGTTAAACTGTAGTCGATTTAATATAGGAGACACTTACACAATTGATATTATAAAAAAAAACATGCTCTAGGTAAACATAATAAATTATAGATATCACAATATTGTATAGATTAGAAAAATAGGTATGATAAATTGTATATAAAATATTGCGTACCTTTGTAGATATATGCCAGATATATCTACAAAATTAGTAGATCAATTAAATTAATTAATCTACTAATTACCTTAATTAATTTGTATACACCGAACAGGTATATGTTCTGATTTCCATCCATCCAGTGCACGTGGCAATCCATCTTGGTGTACTATTCGGTCTGTACATGTATGATGTACATAGCTTCTGATGTGCCTTATATGGGCTTTCTGGTTGCCTTGCCGAGATCAATTAGTGATGACGCTAGGAAGAACCAGGCAAAGGCAGCGGAGTCTGACTCCCATAAAGCAAACAAATGTACGCAGTTGCCGAAAGAAGATTGCCTTTCGATCTGTACAATGGCTGGAAGAAGATCGATCTGATCTTGAAGCTTGGTTGATATCGATGATTCTGATCTCACCGGAGGACACCTCCGGTCGGATTAGTTCTCCCCACAGTCAACGTCGTCGAGTAGTTTGTTGTCAGAGAGCCCATCTCTTAAACCCATCTCGTCGAAATCCTGAAGCACCAAAACCCCCGTCACGTCCTGATAAATTCATCACGAAATAAAAATCATTCTCTAAAAGAAATAATAGAATTAATTAAAATTCGAAAAGAAATTGGCAAACACTAAAATACGTACAAGAAAATTTCGAATGTGGCCCGGAGAATTTTTGTTAAATTCTCCTTGGTCTAAAAGGAGCTCTCAAATTTTACTTGAATTTTCAGAACACCGAAAATAATTATTAAGCAACAACAACCTTTATCAAAGTTTATTAAAAAGAAAAACTAAAAATTAATCCTCCTTTTCCCTTTGGGCTAAGTCTGGCCCAAAGTTTTCCTCTCTCCCTCGGCCCGTGGCCGAAGTCCCTCTCTCCTCCCTCTCTTTTTCCTTTCCTCTCTTTCTCTTGGGCCGCCCCTCCCTCCTTCCCCGGGCCGCCTCTCCCTCCTCTCCTCCTGGGCCAGCCGCCCGGCCCAAGCCGCGGCCCCCTACCCAAGCCGCTCCCCTCCCGCGTGCGCACGCGCGTTGCACGCGCGCTGACGGCGCGCTCGCATGGGGCCCACGCGCCGGTCGTCGTCTCCTTCCTCCAGCCGCCCGGCTCCTCTCTCTCTCCCGAAAAACCCTAGCGCCGTTCCTCCCTGAAATTCGCCCCATTCAAGCCGGATCTTTCCAAATTAATTAGCGTTAATTAATACCCTTTCCCTCCTCTCTCTTTCCCCCTAATTTTCCCCTTGATTCGTGCCCTCAGTCGCCCGGAACGCCCGCGCCAATCCCGGCCGCTTTCCATGGCCGCCGGCTGACTTTTCCGCTGCCGTTCCCACCTCTCCCGTGCCCGGCTCCCTCCCCCATCCTATAAAATGGAACCCCTCGCTCCGTTCTATCGTTTTAGCCCCTTCCCGAGCTCCCCCGTGGCCACACCACCTCTCCCCGCCTCTCCCCGCCGTCCACCACTCTCTCCCGTGCCGCCGGCCACCTCCAGCCGCCTCTGCCGCCTCTCCCGTGTGCCGGCCGGCCGTGCCGTCGCCACCCGCGGCGTCCCAGCCGCCTCCTCTTCCCCGGGCTGTCCTCCGTTTAGCGCGGGGAGCACCGGAGGCGCGTTCCCGCCGGCGTCCAGTGGCGTTGCCGCCACTGCACCATCTCCGGCCGGCTGCTGTTCATCGCCGGTACGACGATCGACGTCGCTGTCTCCTTCGTCGACGTCGCAGCGTCGCCCTCCGCCCCGGCCTGCCCTCGGATTCGCCGGAACGCCGTCGTCCACGCCGCCCCTCCTTCGGTCACGTCGGTACCCACTCCGGCAGCCCCTTCCGCCGTGCCAGGGCGCCAGCCGACGTCGCCGTCTCCACCTTCGGCATCGCAGCGGCAAGGTCGTCCTTGGCCTCGCCTCCCCTCCACCCGAACCCTGCCGGTGTTCGTCGTCGTCGTCTCCGTCCGACGCCGCCATCCCCTCCTCCGGTCGGCCGTTTCTCCTTGCCGGCTCATCGTCTCGCTGTGCCGCCACCGTCGTCGGCATCGCAGTGGCGTGTTCCACGCCGTCCTCGCATCCGGGCAGCTGCTGCCGGCTGCCCTCGTAGCCTCCTCGCTGGCCCCGGCCGTCATCGTCCTCCCGTCGTTCCCGGTCATCGTGGCGTTCGTCCCTCCGTCAAGCAGATCGCGTTCGCCGCCCGTGGTTCGTCAAGCGAGCCGCTGCAGCCCCATCGTCGTCTTCGTCCTCGGCTCCACGTCATCAAGCCTCGTGCTGGCCGCGTCTTGCCTTCGTCCAAGGATCGCCGCCGAAGTCGTTCGCCTCCGTTGTCCCCGAGCCGTCTCCGCCGCGCCCGTTCGTCGTCGTCGTGCCGCGCCTTTTCGCGTGGTGGTAAGGGTGCCTCCTCTCGCTGCCCTGTCCTCGTCCTTTCAGTGTCGCCCCGTGCCCGTTGTGCGGTTGTCGACCCCGGTACCCGTGTACCGGTGTCGGTAGTCGTTCGTGGGTGCGTGTGGTGACTATGTTTGTGTGCCCGCTCAGTAGCCGCGTGGTTTCCACGTGTGCAACCCGCGTGGATTCCACGTGTGCATCCCGCGTGGTGTCTAGTGGAGTCCGTTTGTCAGCCACTCGCCTTGGTTGACACATGGGGTCCGCTTCCGTCGACCCGTGGACTATCTCTGTGTACTCGGTCTACTGTGGTCCCTTAGGTTGACATGTGGGGTCCACATGTCAACGGCACAGCCTTCCTGTCTTTTCCAGGCTAGCGCTTACACATGTTTTATAGTTGCAAAGACTAATTAAAATAATCCGTAAATCTCCATATAACAACATTAAACTTCGGATGATCATATCTTGATCATACGAACCCCGAATCGACCCGTTCAAGTCTCCTAATGTTTGTTATAACCTAAAGAACCCTGTGCTTTCTTTTTTATGTATTGTTATTGCTTTTTTTAGGGTTGTAGCTTTGCTTATGTGCTTCGCGTAGCTTCTGTCGTTCCGGAGGTTCCCGAAGCGTGGTTCGCGGTCATCGCCGAAGGTTCGGAAGGCCGTTCTCTCTGAGCAAGGCAAGTCGCATCACCCTTGAGCATATTGAATCCCAGTTTATAAAATTATTTTGATTTAAATTATTGCATTACCGCTTTACTTAAATTCACGCGTTATCACTGTTTTATTTAGCCATGCCTATTTACTTTTGTTATGACCATACTATTATTGCTATTGTTATTATTACCTTGTTCACCCTAGGATAAACAAAACCCCAACTAGTGGATACTCTATTAATGGTTCCACTAGTATGAATTTAGGTAGATGCTTCGCTGATTAATTAGGCAACACTAGGTGGTTTTATAACTTTAGACTTTGGGAGTTCTCATATCATTTGGACACTGTGGAATGGTTGGCTTGTGATGGAATTGAACACACACCTCCCCCCCTCCCCCTCTATTCAAAACTCCCAAAATGGTTTTAGGCTGGGCTCGAGGTGCATGGTTCTGCTAGTAGCACTTCGGCCACTATAAGGATCGGTCTTCGGGCCTCTGTTGCAAAGCACTATTGTACTAACCACATGTCTAATGGGTAAGGCTTAACTCGGTGCTCAGTCTAGTCCTGAACAAAAGGACACGGATAGAGATGGATGAAGTCGTTGCGGCGATGGATATCTCTGAGGCAAATGAAGGCTACATGAGCTGCGGCTCGGTAATCGAGATGTCTAGGCAAATGAAGCCTACACGGGTCGGTGCCCGTTAGTCGAGATGCCATGGCACTGGACCAGTACGCGGGTGGTCTCACCCCTATGTGTGTGGCGCACCCGGTCTAGATCCTGTTGCTAGGGGCTTAATCCTGGCCTGCCTGTCCGGGATACCGGCCGTAGGCAGGGTTGGGTCGGTACTTTTGTTCACGGCTCGGATGGGTGAAGGGTTATGTCACATGTTTACGACGGGTTCCACGGCCGTGGAATGCAGAGTAAAGATGTGTCTTGCGGGTAAAGATGTACACCTCTTATCAGAGTGTAATCTATTCGAATAGCCGCGCCCTCGGATATGGGCAAGCCTAGCAATGTACCCAAGTTAGTGGTTTAATTCTTAAAATTTGCTTAACAACTAAAATGTGGAATGGTTGGCCTGGGTTGGCTTGGGACGAGCTGGGACTCAGGTCGGGTTGCCAGTTCAGTCCGAATCATCGTAGGCCTTGAGTTAAGGCAGGTTCGTGTGGGTTCACGGCCTTGATTAATAATACTGTGTAGTCCTAGGATCGTCTTTACAAAATAGCTTTGAGCAACTAAGTGTCTTTTAAATGATGTTTACTGCAAAACTTAGCCCCTATATTATTATCCCCTTGTACCCCCTTACATTAATCATGCATCTCTCGGTGTGGCTTGCTGAGTACTGTGGTTGTACTCATTCTTGCTCTATCTTTCCTCCTTCAGTAAGAGAAGCATTGGAGAAGAAGTCCTAAGTGGAGTCCTGGCTTATACCCCAGTTGAGCGCATGTGAAGATGGAGCCGTAGGCCCGCTAGTCCTCTGCTGTTTATTTTTGTTTGTCAGGCCTGAAGTGCCTTTGTAATTATGTAAATATTATCGATATAATAAAGATGTGTCTTTTATATCATATTTGTGTGGTGTACCCCGGCTTTTCCTGGGATGGGGATTAATACACTAGCGTTTGAGAAAAGGTATATTTTTGGGCGCGACAACCCCCCTACCTGGCACGCCACTGTCGATGTTTGATGTCTCAACTATGGTATTTGCATGGCATGGGGATCGTTGGTACTAGGATATACACGAGACTGAGGTAAAAGAGATGGAGACGAGGATTTTTATACAGGTTCGGGCCCCTGAATTGTCAGGTAATAACCCTACATCCTATTGGCCGAAGCCGGTATTGCTCTTATTCACCATAATCACACCAGTACAATATTTGGGGTAGCCTATCTAACTGTTGTGGACTTGGCGGTCTATAGGTCTAACTCGTAGTCGACAACAGGGTAGTCTTCTTCCTCGAGTTCGTGCCCGGCGAGGTCAGAGACAGCGCTAGATCCCTACGGCCGGCCTCTGTAGGTACCGGATAGGGTCGATCCAGGCGTATCTCTGATGTCGATATCCGGCGGCTTGTCTTGGCGTATGTTGTCTTGTATGTTGATCTCCTGTCTTGATCTATTGTTCCGTAGATTGTGGTGGGTGTCGATTGTGTCTTCTATGGTAGGTGTCTCCCCTCTCCTCCTAGGGGGTCTTGTATTTATACCCATAGGTGTCCCCTTATCCAAGTAGAACTAGGGAAACTAATATAGATACAATCCGAGTAGTCCTTGTCGTTTCCATGTAGAACTCTGGTTGTCTTTTCTTATCCAGAACTCCTCATATATCCGCAGGTTGTTTCCGTATAGGACATGGCATATGGTGTGTCCTGCCGAGATTTAGTCGACTACTATTAGGTATATGGTATCCATAACCCTGACAGATCTGATTTAATGTAGTTGGCAAGTTGATGCCCACCGGTGTTGCATCTCGACGGCTTGAGTAGTGAACTTTCCTGCAATCAAAGAATCAAGACAAGAAATCAATAAAATGATAGTATAAGGAAAAGACCTTCCATTCATGACTTATTCCAACCTGAAATGTAACCATGAAGAAAATCTATATCGTTGAACCGAAGAGAAATGACTTATTCCAAAATAGAAGTGGGGAATATATGGACGTAAGGAACCGGACAAATATATAGATAAAATCTACAATGGTCGACATGTAGATTTCCTTACAAATGAAGTATAAAACGGTCGTCATGCATATCTCTAAGAAATCAAATGGCCTGAATTGCTTTGGCATCGGGGTTCCTACTAACCAAGTTTGGGAATCCTGGTGGCAGGAGGAGCAGCAAGCCGCCCCATTGCCTTTATGAGCAAGTTGTGGTTGTACGGGAAGCCAACAAGAGTCAAGCGATAAGTAACATCTATTGCTGCCTCAGAGAAATGAAATGACGCATCAAGACTAGTGGCAATTAGCACACGCGATCATGTCACGATTTAGCGAATGCCAATAGCAAAATTAATATTTCAATATGGTGAATGCCAGTGTGTTTTTGCATGATTAATTCCAAACACAAAGTCACTGGAAGCCTGCAGGTGCAGCATCCCAATTACACGATTACAGTATATAACTTTATATAAGCACAAGGCGTGTATTGCAGAGAGGCAGTGGTGCCAGACGCCGCCATTTTCTTCTACTGGCGCCCACGGTTGAGCCGCGCCGCCGCGGCGATGGACGCCGCCACCCCTCCCGGCCGCGCCGCCGCGTCGGGCTTGCTGCGCACCTCCACCCCGACCACCCGCACCGCGTCCTCCCTCTCCACCTCCTTGTCCGCGCCGCCCAGCTTCGCCGCCGCGTCCTGCACGCACGCAGACAGTAGAAACGTCGCGCCATGGCCGCGCCACGGCGCGCGCCGCGCGATCGCGCAGGGTTAACCAAACAGAGACAACTGAGCTAGCTAGCGCGCGGCGCCGGCGCGCGTCCGAGATGTAGACAAAAGTGCGAACCGTACCGCGAGGACGTCGCCGAGCGTGGTCTTGTCCTCGTCGCGCTCCGCCCGGGCGTTGGCGTCCGCGGCGGCACGCGCCCGCGCGGCGAGGCCGGCCGGCGCGGCGGCGGCGTCTGCGTCGTCGTCGTCGTCGTCGTCGTCGTCGTCCTGCAGCCGACCGGCCGCGCGCGCCTCCGCCGCCTCGATCGCCGCGGCGTCGCTCGGCTCCACCGGCTGGTCTCCCGCCGAGAGCGCCGCCGCCTCCAGCGCCTCGCCGATCGTTATCTTGGTGCCGTCGGCCACCGCCGGTGGCCTCTCCTCCTGGCAGCTCATCGATCCTTGCTTGCAAAATCAAGTCGCGGATAGCTTCTCCTTGGCGCGATGTGGATGAGTGAGTGATCGTGATTAGTAGGGATGGAGAGGAGACGTGGAGGCACGCATGGCGAGGCACGTCGCCACGGCGAGGCGGCGAGGTGGCGCGCCCACATCGCTTGGGAGGCAATGCACCATACTGGAACAAAGGATTTTTCCCTCATTGACGAGTTTTTGCGAATTCTTTATACCGGAATGATCAACCAATGCTTTGAATGGACAAGATCACGCATTCAGCGATGAAAGAAAACGTATTCCCTCCCCTTTTTTTATTTTTTATTTTCACGTAGGTTAGCTCAAAATTGAACTAACAAACGTCTCTTTTTTTATTTTTATTTTTCGTTGGTTAGCTCAAAATTAAACTAACCAACACGTCTCTTTTTTTTACTTTTTATTTTTATATTAATTAGCTCAAAATTAAACTAATCAACGTCATATAATTTAATAATTTATGTAAGGAGGTAGTATCAATTATGCATTGGAACGGACGATTTTTTTTCTCCAGTTTCAGGTGTGAATTTTATAAGCTTCCATGAAATCTATAGCGATATTTCAGTATTTTCTCCATGGCGGAGATGAGGAAATCAAAACGCATGAGCATATGTCGAAGCCTCGTAAATACATGATCGGTGAAGAAAATATTTAAGGTGCCCTAGAAAGCATGCTTATTGTATAATCACGATCTGGTTTGATTGGATTATAGCAAAAACAGCAGGATTAATTTAAGTTAATTCTCAGGGAGAAAATGTACAAGACCGACAAGCACTGCCGGCGACGACACAGATAAGCTGTTTCTACTCATCGCCGGCAAAGGGAGGAAATATTCCGGCGACCACACACAGATAAGCTGATTCTACTACTCGTCGACGGAGAAAAGATCGACGAGCTGCCAGCGGCAGGGAGGACGACGGCGGGTCTCAGCTCTCACCGGCGCTTGTGGCCGCCGCCACCGCCATGGTTGTGGTGGTGGTTGCCGTCGCTGCCGCCGCCGCGGCGCTCCCTGGACCGCCGCGGCTCCTCCTGCGCCTCCTGATGCTCCCGCTCCCGCCTGGACGACGACGAGGGGCGCCGCTTGAAATGCTGCTCCTCCTCGCTCTCGTCGTCCTCCTCCTCCTCGCCGTAGTAGTCTCCGGCCGCGGGCCTCCGCCTCTCTTCCGCCGCGGCGGCCGCCTCACGGTGGTGGCGGCGGTGGTGGCGGCCGTCGTTGTCCTCCGCCACAGCGGCACGTGCTTTCTTGGAGGAGGAAGAAGAGGACGCCGGGGGCTTGTCGGAGGAGGACCTGCGGCTGCGCTTGGCGTCGGAAGGGTTGCCGTCGCCGCCGGGGAAGCTGATGCGGGAGAAGACGCTGCCCTTGGCCTTGGACCGCGCGTCGGCCGCCGCCGCCGTATTCTTCGCGTGGGCGTGCTCGGCCGCCTCGTGGCGCGACGCGGGCGGCGGAGGCGGCGGGAGGGGCAGGTCGTCGTAGCGGTCGGAGGAGGAGCGCTTCTTGCCGGAGCCGGAGGAGCGGTGCGGGGAGCGCCGGGAGTGGCGGTCGGGGCTCGCCGGCGGAGGCGGCGCCGACCTGTCCGCCGGCTGCGACGACCTTGACCTCTGCAAAGAGAGAGGAGGAAAAAAAAACATGGGACCACAAGTCAGTGTCATATTTACTTCTACAGCAGCAGCGACTACACCGTAGCCAATGGATGTAAATCGTACGGCGGAGAGCTGCTCCCAGACCAGTACTAACCCTGGAAGCATATAATGATCCACCAATACAAAGACGTTTAATATTGCAGAAAATCTACGGAAGAATACATATATATTATCCTGGAGAGTTTTCGCATTGCAGCCGTATTTTTTTTACCAATAATGCGTTGCTTAATGTCGCAGAGTGGGGCAGTTTACGTTTTTTTTGAACTTTGCATGCCATTTCTAGTTTCTAATGAATTCTAATACAGTAACCAAAGCCAAGAAACAAAATAATTAAAACGATTTGTGTTTTCTTAAAAAACATAGAAAATAAGGCAGAAAAAAAAGGGCAGCATAACCTTCCATAGAAAAATCCCACAACTCAAAGGGGAAAAAATATGAACACAAAAACTAACTTATTTGTGTCATATTTGTATGCGATAGTTAACCCAAAGCACGACGAGCACAGGAAAGCAACGGCAAAGTAAACAAAACACAGAAGAAGAAAAAAAATAAAAACTGGATAAACACATAGAACAGCAATGGAACGACATGGCAATATGCATCGCCACAAACACTCCGGTTGGCGATCGCCCCAAACAGCAGCCACAGCAATCCTGGGATCAGCCAAGAACAATGCCCAATCGCAAGCGCGTGCACACAGGAGGGCGTAAACGGAGTGCCTTTCTTGTTCGGTAAAATCTGAATCGACCGTGCAAAAAGGCAATGGCTCCATCTTATGCTCCTTCCTGTCTAGTGCGGTGCCCTTGACCACTACTGCTGCTGCCGACATGTTTACCATGGAACTGATGATAGTACAAAACTTTGCGAGATAATAAATTGACAGGAAAACACATACAGCCTTCGGCCTCATTGAGGTAGTACTATCGTTATTGGCTCCGGATGATTCCCTCGCTTCCCTTCGAGATTCTCTTTCCCTGTCTCGCTCCCGATCCCGATCCCGCTCTTGGTCTCGATCGCGATCTCGATTTTGGTCTCTGTCCCTCTCTCTTTCCCTTTCCCTTTCCCTCTCCCTCTCCCTCTCCCTCTCCCTCTCCCTTTCTCTTTCTCTCTCGCGGGAATGTCCACGCTCCCTCTCCCTGCAAAAGAGACTCCACTGATTAACATTGAAACAAAAAACCAAAGTGGGGAAAATATTATGGTAATTGGCCAACTGCTACTCCCTCCGCCCCAAAAAGACTTGATTACATAGCTAGAAATCAAGTATTTTTGAGACGGATGTATATGTCAATTGAAATGCAGTTTAGCATAGTCTAGTCCTGATTTTGCAAAAACAACACAAACCTACTTTCTGAGTCGTGAAGATGAAATGGGCAATTCAGTGGCAGGAACAATATTATATATGTATATATTTAATGTGGCAAATGCAAAATCCCCACTTCATTACTTCCGGTAGCATCCCACAGGCCAACGCTCAAGATATTGTTCTACTCCCTCTAGTTCCATAATTCTTAGACGTTTTGGACAAGGTTGAGGTCAAACTTTTAGGACTTAGACTATAAATAACATTAGAAATATTTAGTTTGAAGGCACTAAAATAAAATATATAGATTAGTCTTAAAATGTACTATAAAAAAAAGTAAATATTTAGTTATTTATTGTATATATTATAATAGAAAATCATAGTCAAAGATATATCTTGGAGACCATGTGTGATTATCCAAAATGTCAAGAATTATGGAGAGGGAGTGCATATCGCAGTCAAGTTCACCAATCCTGAGGTGAATGGGACTTCAGTCCTAGGCCTTAGGTACTACCTCCCATGAGCCCGTGAGGATAATTCCATTGAAGGAACAAAGTGGTGGTTTAAGCCTCAAGTTGAGTAACTTGTTATAACAGGATTAAGTTTAGGGTTGTAGGATTTTATCAAGGTTATAACCCTCAATATTTAAATATTGTTTGGATGGTGAAGAAGAGAGTGCAGCCCAGCAACCCTCAATAGAAACAGCAGTTACAGGGCGATGCATTAGTAACACAAAAGTACAAGCCAACTGCTATTTATGTTAGGGAAGATCAGAAAATGATCACAAGTTAGCAATCACCTTTCATTGAATCGCTCCATTTCACGTCTCCTCCTATTATCAGGCTTTCGGAGCTCAAATTCATCCCTGCTAACAACCGGTGGACCCATATTCATTCCCATACTGTTAACTGCTAATTCAGAAAGGTCCCTGAAAACAAATCATTCAAGATGTTCAGCAGTGGCCTAGTATGAGATGATCTGAAGAAAGGCAGGGATGGATGCTTAGCTAAAGTAAACACATGGACATATACACATCCCCCGCCACATTGAAGAAAAAACAGATACAAAGTTTGTGGTTTGTACACTAACTTCCAGAGGTAAACTAAAGATCACCAGTACATCTATAATCTGTCATACCCAGGGGGAAGATCAAGTATTGCTAAAAGATATACCTAGGAACTGCTGGCATCATGTATCCTGGGGGCATAAATGGATCTTGTGGGAGGACTCCCCCACCAAAAGGGTCGAAAGGACCTGGTGGATAACCCATGTATGGCATGGGACCAGGAAATGGCGCACCCATGTAATCCATTGGCAATGGCATCCCCCCTCCCCAGTAAGGGTTGAAGCCTCCTGCCGGACCCATAGGCATTCCAGCAAAATTTTCAGCTCCAAAGTCCTGATAGGGTTTCCAGTCCTCAGCTGTAGATGAGGAACAAGCAATGTTTGAATAATTAACGATTAACATCAATATACTGAAACAGATGTTTAGTGTGCTCTAAAATATTGAAAGATTGTTTGGTTTATTTAAGCCACCGCTTGCAACATCACCTATATGACATAATCATTATGAGTAATCCAAACTTACCATTTCCTGGTGCGCGCACCTTCTTCTTCTTCTTTTTCTTTACGACTGAAACCAATAAAGGAATCTTGTTATTTCTTGGAACAGAAATGTTAACAGAATACATGCACACATTTTAGCACAGGGAGAGAGGAACAACTGTTACCACAGCCAACTCATTCATATTGTTTCAGTTTTTATTGCCATACCCCTTAAACATCTATTCTTAAAAATTACAAACAAGATGTTTGAAAGAAAAAAGAACATTGTAATTCTCTAGAAATTGTATTGGCAGGGAGGGTGCATCACAGGAATGGTTAGATGGAAACAAGCAGGAACAAAAGATTTCACCTTGTTCGCCCACAACAGGCATTTTTTCCTGTGACTCTTTCACAACAGGTGTTGCTTCTGGTGTTTTTTCTTTCAGAATTTTAGACTCCATGGTTCCTTCAACAACATCTGGTAATGCGGGGACCTTCTTATCTGAAGAACTCATATCAACATTTGTAGTTTTCACTTCGCTATGGCTCTCAACATCTGGAGACTCTTCTACAGGTGCAGGTGTTCTTTTTGGTTCTTCCTTTGAAGCAGCAGAAACAGCTGGAGACCTAACCTTGGGCTGTACAGGAATAGCTGACTCCATATCTGCGCAAAGTACTAGCATCAGTTCAAATAGTCTATACTAAGTACTCCCTCCGGGTTGATAATACTTGTCGTTTTGGACAAGGGTGAAGTCAAACTTTAAAATCCTTGACTATGAATAATTTTTAAAATATTGGTCTTAGAAATATGGAGACCATATGTCTATTAGTCTTAAAATGTACTTCAATAAAATCATATATTTGTCGATATTTATATATATATTATAATAGAAAATAGTAGTCAAAGTTGTTTTTAGGTTAATTTTTTGGAGACCGTGTCCTTGTATAGAACGACAAGTAATATCAACCTAGAGGGAGTATCTGTTATAAGTGATAGATATATGTGTATATACCCTGTACTTGCACCATGCTTCCCACATTTTCTGTACTGCTAGTTGGTGGTGCCTCTAATATCCGGCTGATGGTTTCTCTTAGAGTTTTATTGGGGAGAAGATCGTCTGCTAATATGCTTGTGGCACCACAGACACACATTGACTTGTTTATAATGTAGTCCCTAATGCCTGCAAAAGAACATAGCAGCATGCCACCTCATTAAAAAGTGTACATATTTGAAGCTCGGAAATGAAGATCAAGATAAGGGGAAGGAAAAAAGCACACAATTTATGGTTATCCCATAGACAAACTCGTAAAATGACAGTGGCACCAATGACATGTAAATAAATATGTTTTTATAAGCATAACTTACATTTATCACAGAAACTCCTAAAGCAGCATTTACTAGTTAGAACAGCATCCTTCATTACTTCTTTACACAATGGGCAACGTAACTCTGGTGGAAGATCACCAAGTGAGCGGGTTGTGGGTAATCCCTCTATCTCCTTCTCAAAAGCAGCTCTATCACAAAACAAAATTAAGTTTGGTCTTTGATAAGCACATGTAACATTGTTTTTGCATTGCAGAAGTAATTCAACAAACTTTGAAGTTTGCACTCACTCATTTGGCTTCAAGACAGCACCAGCCCCACTTGGTAGTGCATATGAGCCATCTGGGGTTGCCATCAACATAGATTTTGGAATGCCAGTTGGAGGTTTCATCCTTTTCATGTCAAATCTAGCATCACCATTTGTTGGGCAATGTTGAATGAAATGACCTAAAAATGAAGACTTCTGAGCAATAGCATAGCATGATTTTTCATTACCAAAGACTTGACATTAGTCATCATCATACCAGGCACTTTACATCTATGACAGACATAGCCTGCAGGAGGTGTCCTACGTTCCAGACCACCACGTCCTTGAGAATATCGAAGGGGAATATCATAAGTGAGGATCATAAGGGGAAAAGGTAGGCAAATAACCTTACAACATAGCATATCACAGACAACATAGCATATCACAGACAACATAGCATATCAGTATATCACAGAGCATAGAATTTAAGTATAAACGCTGCACCTATAGGTATACATGTTGCAAAGGTCAGTGCTACTACTGCCACTTATAAACCTGTACGCAAAAAAAAAAAAAAAAAAAAAAGCAATAGACAAGGTAAAAAGGTTACCAAAACCACGACCACCCATCATTCTTCCACCCATCCCTCTTCCATAGCCTCTTCCACCACCATACCCATCAGGAATTTGACTGGAAGCATGAACATTCAGTTTGATGATTATAAAAGCAGCACATAATAATGATAGCATTACATCCCATAGCATAAAAACTAGAACTAATTGCAGTTCAAGCAGTCAATGTGGTGAATTTCTAATCCAGTACATCACTCACCTATAGTCGAGTGCAGATGTATCAATAAGTGCTTTTATTTTACTATCTTCATCAACTTTATTTTCAGATGCATCAACCGCCTGGCTACCGAGCTGTGAAGGGACTGAATCAGAAACATATAAATCATTGCCAAACTCGTCATCCCACTCAGATTCTTCAGGCTGCAATTTAATATTTTGAATATCAGCTCCATGTATTAACACACAAATGCAAGTCTGCAACAGCTCAAACATCTAAATAAAAATAAAATGGCAGATACTGCAAGGGCAAATAGTATCCAAGACTAGAAGACTTTATTCTTACATATTTCATAGATGCATCAGCAAGAAAAGCACTACCAGAAGGCATGGTTTCTTCTACCCTACCTTCCATGGCTTTTGTCCTGCACAAATGAGCGAGCATCTCAAATTATGCATACTAGAAAGGAAAGGGAGAGGGAAAGGAATCTAACTCCAAGCATAACCAGAGGCGTGATTCAGTCAAAACAAATTTGAAAGCATGTCCCCTCATATAACTAAATTGTGGTTTGGCTCCAAATGTATGTGAATTAGGAGATGTGTACAGTATGGAATCAAAGATCAAGACGGTACTCTTCTGGTTCTGTTACAATAGGCTTCCTTGGTCTTCCTGGTATCCGACGAATCAACACCGATGTGTTCTTTGGTATCATAGTAGCTTCATCAGCATATTCTGAAAGCGCAAATGCCACAGGAAAATAATTTAACCTCGGTTGCATAACTCCATCCCAAATCCCACCAAGACAAAGATATTCAAAACATAATCCACTAATCTAACAGGCAAGTAAATTGTAGGGCTCAGCCAGAGTACAGTTTCACTTGCAATGCCCTATGATAATCTGGTACGATTGCTTGCTGATGCAAACAAGTAGCGCCCCAATTGCAAACAAAAGAATAAGTCTTGAGGGCAATACTTGATACATGCACTCAACAACCGAAAAGTGCAGATTGCTCAACTTTGCCAAAAGGTAAAACCTTTTAGGATGTCCCAAATAATATTTTTTTAATTGAAGTTCAAATCCAATTTATACTCAGTTATCCACAACAATCCTGTAAACCATTTCCTAGCAGGCTTATGACAGCAAAAAATTCAAAGCGTCTATGGTAAAAAAAAAATGATAATAGCTATTGATACTAGATAGAGCATCAATTTTCGTGTTATACAACTGAATCAATGCAGAACTCTTGACTGCACAAATCAGAAAGTCACAGATTTACCATACAAATGAAACAACAATAAAACCTAGGTCTATCACAAATTCGCAATACTATCTGGCCTTATCAACTTGCTTACATTCACTCATACAAGAAATCACACAAAGGGCCCGACGCTAAGAAGAACCAACCTTCGTCGGTCTGCGCATTTGAAATCATGAGGTCAAAATCTGTGCCTCTCCCAAGATGCTTGGACTCAAAAATCCGCTCCTTCAGGTTGGCAACCGAGATGAATTGCCCCTCGATCGGAATCGAGTCATAATCTCTGGCACTCTTGAACTTGTAATATACAGCCATAATGCCCACTCAGTTTTTTTTTCTTTTCTTCTGAATTTATCTTTTTATTTTTTTTGTTTTTCTTTCTATTTTTTTTGTTGGCTTTTCCCCCCCCCCCTCTTCTTCTGTAATAGAGCAGATTATTCGATAGAGAACAGCAGTAAATAACAAAAAATTTTGCCTTCGCCCTTAAATTGAGCGGAAAACTGATGCTTTAAACCGGAACAAATCGAGAAAACAGATAGACACATGAACAAGTGTACAAGCAAGCAGCACTTTCGTGTCTCCGCCGCCCTGCCGGGCGGCCGCTCTCCTAAAACGCAGCCGCCAAAGAAGCCACCACCGGAGGTAAAGAGCCCGCACGAAGAGAAACCCGCCCTCTCCCTCCCTCCACCACACCAACCGGGGGAAGGCCTCCGAATTGTGGGGGCGGGCGCTACCACGCCAGGATCGCCATCGCCGGAGCCGCCCCCTCCCAGATCGCTGCAGATCCGGGCGCGGGGCACCGAGGAGCCGCCAGGTGTGAGCCTTCCAGATCGAGAAACCCTCCCGCCGAGAGAGGAGAGGCGCCCCTCTCTCCCCCTCCCTCTCGCCCGCGCCGCAACCGCCGCCGCGGGGAGGGTGCGGGCTTCAACACCGGAGCCCCGCGCGGCGGATCGAGGAGAGGGAAACCGTCGCCCGCCTTTGCGGCGCTAGGGTTTGGAGCTCGCGTTGGGGGATTTGGGGGGATTCTATCCCTTCCTCGCTTCGTCGAGACTCGAGAGGGAGGGGGGGAGTGGGGAAAGGGATTGGGATTGGGGGAAGAGGAGAGGAGAGGAGGAGAGGGGGGACGAACCTAAATCTGGCAGGCTGGGCCTAGTTGGGCTTGGATCAGAGGGTGAGACAGACCGACCCAATGGGCTCAAATGGGCCGTATCTTTTTCACTAGAAACGCTCGATCGAAGTGTGTGATTTTAGCTAGGAATAAGTTCATTTTAGTCCGTAAACCGAAATACCAGATACAACAGGTCTCTAAACTAAAAATCGGTGCAATACAGGTCACATGACAATATAGCAGGTGGCTTTATCCAACATGGCAATTTGACCCGAGTCAACAACGTTGAGTCAATGTGGGCTCCACATGTCAGAGCCTCTTCACCTCTCTCTTTACCTATCTCTTTCTTCCTCCCCTTGTTTCCATCTCACCAGGCGACGAGCGATGAGGATAAGGCCGGCAGCGGGTGGTGAGTAGGACGGCGGACACCGGCTCCGGTGTGGGCCCACGTCGCTCGGCGGGGGACAATGGCGACGTGGCCTATGGCCCTGTTTGGGGGAGCTTCTAGCAGCTGCAGTTTCTCCTAGAATCTCCAGCTTCCAGAAGCTCCCCCAAACAGTCCAGCTTTTTATCCAGATTCTGAGAATCTGTAGTTGTAGAATCTAGAAAATGAACTAGAAGCCAGAAGCTGGGTTTCCCAGCTTCTCCAGATTCTCACCAGCTAGCTTCTCGGCAGCTGCTTCTCAGAATCTTAAGCTCCCCCAAACAGGCCCTATGGCACGCGCAATGTCTGGTGAAAGGACTCCCCCTAGAATGACATGGAAAGGCTCTGCATCGTGGTCACCAAAGCCACCACCGCCGTGGTAGGGGTGGGCGACGTCGAGTGCTACGACAGGGGAGTGGACTCCCCTCTCCTCTGCTCGAGGAGAGCGGAGTGAGTGCAAAAGTGAGAGATAGATGTACTGGCCTCACATGGCGAAAGCTGCTGGTGGTGGTGGTGGTGGCCATGGCCTGGATTTCCTTCTACTTTGAGTTGGCCTCGCCTCCTGCTCCGACCTGCACGCATGAGCTATGAACCCACGCTTTCCCCTCTCGCCCAGCTCACCCCATGGCCACCCTACTTAGCTCGTCCTAGAGAGATAAAAAGGATAGAGAGATAGTTATTGGGAAGCAAGAAGCAATGTGGTGTTGAGATTGAGAGAGTGAGTGTTCTTCACGGAGGTCTTGCTATGCGGTGCAAGGCATTCTCTTTTTCTTTGTGTAGTCATTGAATTCGAGGAGGTACTAATGCCGCCATTCCTCCTCGGCTTGTTGCTTCTGCTTATTTTGATCCCTCTCTTCGTTCTTGGATTCCCCATGGAATTTCTTCTTCGCTTGCTCTGAATATTTTTTCTTCCTATTTTTGTTACTCTTTTTCCGTCGGATTTTGTGGGAATACCTGGAGACTGTATATGGATTTGTGGTTTTGAGAGAAATTAGGGCGGCGGCGTCGTCCCCAGTCGAGCGACGTGGACCCATGTCGGAGCCAGCATCTGCCGGTCGTCGTCCTCCTCAACACCCGCCATCGGCCTTCTCCTCACTACTCACTGCCTGGTGAGATGGGACTAGGGAGAGAAAGAGAGAGATAGGTGAAAAGAGAGAGGTGAAGAGGCCCTAACTTGTGGGGCCCATGCTGACTTGGATTTATGTCAAATATCAAGTCAAACAAAACCACCTGCTATACTATCATGTGACCTACACTGCATCAGTTTTGACAGTTGAGGAACCCGTTGTATATGGTATTTCGGTTCAAGGAAGAAAATCGAACTCTGTATCAAGTTAAGGGACCTAACAATGAACTTATTCCTTTTAGCTTAACCATTTTCACTATAATCGATGTAGGAGCCGGAACAAACATTGCAGTACAACACATCTAAAAGAACAAACACAGCAGATCTAGTAAGTGGCCTCTATCAGGCATAGTTATTTTTTATATATATACGCAGGAGAGTTACGTGTCATTTCATTAAGGAGAAAATAAGTAAGAAAACGAAAGTTCTCAAAAGAAAAACTCTCACACAAACGCACATGAAACCTACTCCTATGTGCACAAGTGTTTGTTTTGAGGGACTACTGTCTCTTCTCTGAATTATTGGTTTTCTCCAAGGAAAAAAAATACTTAAGTGTTTGAACATAAGGACGCAATTCAAAGTATATTTGGTCTTGGGTTTTTACCTTAGAGGCTTTCACCTTATCCAACACACACTTTTCAACTTTCTGAGAATTTCGAGGCCTTGAAAACCTACATTATATATAACAATGAAAAGTATAAATAGGACAATATTTTGCTAGGACTAATTTTGTCCACATCAACTTTGTGTCTAATTATACTCTTTGTTGCTAATATTGCTACATGGAACATGGAGCAAAATGTAATGAGTATGCTGAAAGACCATCAAACTTGGTGTTGAGCTCAAAATCACATGGCTTTTGCACAAGATAGTCTAGTACTAGGGTACTAGCTAATGTTCCTATCAGAGTATTTTCAAGAGATTGAATACATCTATAGCTAATTAGCTCTTCACTTAGATGCTAGCAAATTAAGAATATGTTTTTTTAAAAATCAAATTCCTACAATCCAAATGGGTCTAAAATGATGCCTATGGCAAGGGCACTACTAAAATGCAGATTTGAAGCTCGAATTCTATTGATACTAATGCATGAGATAGTAAAAAAAAGTTGTCTTATGACATAGTATTTGGTTGGTCTCCATATCATTTCGGGCATGAATTCCATATCCAGAGATAACTAGCAAAGCATTTTAAGAATCAATCTTATATACTCCAATTTGCAATGGAGTAAAAATCAACGATTATAAAGAGATTACGCTCGAAGTTGCAAACTTATATTATTATTTTTGTTACACATTGCTTGCCCATGGTACCAACTGATTGTTACAATGACACTGACTGGACCAAGCATAGATATTTTGGCCAAACTTTAATGAACTGAAACGATCTGAACCAAACCAAACAAAAAAAAAGAGGGTTCTATCCATCTTTAAACCCAGAAAACAAAGATGGTGGAGGGTGCTACTTAGTTTGGGCATAAAGATGGATTTGGTGGAAGACCTTATTGGCAAAACTCTACTAGTATACTATAGTAGTTGCACCGTTACCACAAATGATGGTGCTACTTGGTAGGAATGTAGCTTGCACCAGCAAGAAGCCCGAATCCGCCGCCTCCTCCTCCTCCTCCTCCTCTTTTATCAATGTTGGGCCACATTGGGATCCCCTCATTCCCACCATCACCGCTTGCATCCATCCTGGGCACAACCACAATGAGTTGACCATTCACATACCCTGCCATAACCATCGATAGAATGGATGTCTCAGCTAGGGGGAAGCGCCACTTGTCATAGACTAGATCATTCCTTAAGTCTGGCTCCCCAGGTCCAATGTGCACCACCACCCTAGTCATATCCCAGCGCTCGAGTCTCACAATGTGTACCTTAACAACATCAGGTTCACCACCGACACCATGTGGCACAAAAAAGAGGTCAGCGTTGGTGGTAAAGAGCTTACGAACATTGGTATCCCTTGGGAATGGAAGCTCCAACACACGACTAAACACTGGTGGCAAGCGTTGGAGCTTCTTCACCGGCTCCGACTCCACTAGTTGCGGCTGCGTCTTTGTCATGGCTACCAAGCTAATTCCTCTCTTACTTCTTGCACACAACAAGAAACTACAAGGAGATTCTCTTTTCTTTGATCAATACCTAATGCCTTTCAAGGCCTATGATGAGGGAATTTATAGGACATCGGGGTGATGGTGTCACAAGATTCATGGCATTTGGGAAGGGAAGGATAAGATCAACCAACCCAAGATGACGCATCATTTGATTTGATGAGATTAGCATCATGCCGTGGCAAAGCTTGCAAGAAGATAGCTTACCGTTCTTTACTTGTGCAAATTGATTTTTAGCACAAAAATACATAGTCACAAGCACCGAAAGATGTCAGAGTTACAAGGGAGGGCTCTTTCGGTGCTTGTGAGTATGTACTTTTGTGCTGAAAGTCCATCTACACAAGTAAAGAAGGGATATCTTTTTGGTAGTTGTTTTCTCTACTCACAAGTTATCCTTTTGTGTGCACACTAGTTTTGTTTTTGTCCTATCATCACTAATCAGTTTTGCGAGTATATTGTTGAAAAGTATCCTAGAAGATCAAAAGTTAGCTTTATCATTTGTGTGCCACGTCTAGTGTTTTGTCACACCTAGTCATTATGTGTCTAAGTAGGGTACAATAAAGATACTTTTTTTTGGTTTTTTATGTTAATTTGTCCACATACTAAGCCGAAAGTGTTTTTTGTTGTGGTGGTTGTTTGTCCTAATTTTAAGGATAAGGATTGATACTACTTATAAGAAACCTATACGGGACCATTTGAGGATATGGCCCTACAAAAGGGTCCACAAACTTTTTTATTATTATTTTGTTTACTTCTATGAATTACCCATAGACACCGAATTGTTTACTTTTTCTACAAGCAATTTTACTAGTCTCCATGAACAAGTGTAATAAACTAAACAATAATGATTTAGTTTTGGACAATAAGTTTCTTCCATATATAGTATACATGTTTAGATTATTCTAAACCACAATTACTGAATGGTTTTCATCTAAACAATAAATGCGAAATAATAAAATATAAATATTACATACCACTAGTATCGTCAGTTTCCAGTCTTGCAACATGTTGCTATCACAACGCAACTTGGGTTCCTTCTCTTCAAATAAAATAATGAATATTTCATCAAAACTATACCTATATGCAATACTGTCAAAGAGACATGAGATTGTATGTGACACAGTAAAAACCGTGGAATAGATGATACCGATGTCTTGGTGGAACAAGGTAGAGGGAGCTATTCTGGCACACGATGATGGAGGAGGGAAAAATAAGCTGGCAAAGATCAAGTAGATCTTTTCTAGACAATAGGGAGAGACACCATCAATGGAGACATCAATGAGTGGTGAGAAGACCGGAAGAGAGAAGAAGAGGGCAGGTGTAGATCTATAAGTAGAACACGATTTGGGCATCAATCGGGCAGAGCTAGGATGGGATGAGGAATGTGCAGGGGTGGGGGTTGTTATAATAGACGCGAGGAAAGCAAAATATTCGTGAAAAGGAAGAAAGACGTGTATCACGAGGATTTGGCATGTCGCTTATGGAGGACGGCATGTGAAATAAATAGAAGATATGTAGAACATTTTACTGCTAACTTAGGTACACCATTAATTACTAATAATTGGTGTAGAAATCACTCTGGTCAATTCATATATCTTATTTCACGATTCCTACTATTTTATCCTAATATTTGCTTAGTTAACTTCTACTCCTTTTGAACAACGAATGTATATGTTGGGACAGAGGGATTAAAAGTTGTGCAAATCATGATAAAAATAATCTTTTATGTCTATCGAACCGGAGGAAATATTGTTTCTTGTGTTACATTTTCATACCTGCACTATGACTAGAAATTCTTTGCACTACTTAATCATTTCCTCTGTCTTAAAATATAGCTACCTTTCGAGTTGTGCATGAACTTTAAGGAGAGGGGTGAAATTAAACGGGGGAGGGTTATGATTGGTTGAGATGAGGAGGTAGGTGGAGAAGTATCTATATTTAGGACAACATTTATTCTGTAACATTACTATGGAGGGAGTAGTTCAAAGGACCTTGATATCGCCTAGGATGGTGAATAGACGTTCCTGAAAATCACTCGCAACAGTGTCAGATTCACTAGAAATCCTAGGTGGCTTCTTATGTAGGGGTGGATATCGAGCTAGGCTCAGCTCGCTCTGGCTCGGTAGGCTCGTTATAGCTAACGAGCTGAAACGACAGCTCATGTCGGCTTGCTGTGAAACTCGAGCTAGCTCGCGAGCTAATACAACCATTTCATCACTTCAGAGATAGCAGACAGGGAAGAACATATTCTGAAAACATTTGTTCAACAATTAGCACTTTAAACATGATGAGCTCAATGAAACATCTCATCTGTCTAAATCATATTATCATAAAATCCAAAAACAACACAAAATCGATAAAATTCGAAAAAGACAACAAAGAAAAAAACAAACCGCTTATAACATCATATATTCACATATCACAATAAAATAAAAATCCTTCGTGTGGATGTGGCTGTCTCCCATTCAAACAAGAAATCAGGCAATAGGTTTCTTCACAAACTCACATTCACAGTATCAAGCAACATAGTTCCATCCATCCATGCATACATACATGGATGCGTGGCAGCGTGGGCATGCGGCACAAGCACCACTTGCTCTTACTCCATGGACCATGGGCATCGAGCGAGCAAGTTCGACACTGGTCGCTGGAACAGGTAACAACGTTGTAGGATGGAGGGAGCGGAGCATAGCGCCACGAGATGGAGGGAGCGGAGCGCGGTGCTTGCCACTGGAATGGGAGACTCAACGGTGTCGTGGGTGGGTTGGAGGGAGCGACGCAAGCGTAGGGCGAGGCCACGGGCGGTGGGAGAGCGGAGGAACCGATGAGACAATGACCGGTCTAGGGTTTTATATATTCTACTTTGGTCTTGGCATGCCACCAAGATGGGCGATGGGCCACATGCTATGGCCTGCTATTTGCTGAAGTTTGATTTTACTCCCTGTTTGTCTAGCTCATTAAGCTCGTGAGCAGCTCGCGAGCCAGCTCGAGATGGCTCGTTATGTGTAACGAGCTAAAATTTCAGCTTGGCTCATTACAAAGCCATATCGAGTCGAGCCGAGCCGAGTTGGGCACAAGCCGAGCGAGCTAACAAGTCACGAGCTTTTCGTCCAACCCTATTCTTATGTTCAGGATAGAGAAAGTTGATTGAAACTTTCGGTCTTTAGTACCAAATTGCCGGTAGCCTGAGTCAGGTTTTGCATCAAGGAGGTATGGAGAATATGCAGGAACATATAGAGAATCGGATATGACAAGCGCAACTCAAGTACACAAGGATTTTTCACCCAAGTCTGAATATTTCAATCCTACTCTTCATTAAGGAACTCCAAGGAGCCGAATCTCGATTGATCCCAAGCCTCACCAAGCTATCAAATAGGCAGAAGCTTTAGCCTTAGTGCAATCACCAACGTTTAGCAAGTTTTCAAGCGACCACCAAGGTTCAAGCTTGGACAACAAGCACCCACCTCTTATAAAGTTTGCTCTACCAAGCAACCTCCTAGAAGCTAGTTCAATTTTCACATAATCTTACCTCTTTCCTTGTGAAGGTTAGATGAACCTTCACAAACATTCCCGGGCAATCCACACTATCGGATCCTCGCGGGTGACGCCTAGCTAGCTAGGTGGAGATCAACCAAGAGTAAAAAGTGTGATGACGATGGCCAGGTGTCGATCCTAAAGTGCTCTTACCCTAGCTCTCAAGCTCACTAGATCCAAAATCTTCTTACTCACAAGGTTTTTGCCTCAAGAATCCAAGTGGAGAAGGTTAGGAACCCTAGAGAAGATATGTGAGTAGGTCTAAAAGGTGTGATAGCCAATCCCTCAAAATGGGAGTTGGGGGGGGGGAGTTAAATACTCACCCATCCTCAAAACTAACCGTTACTCACAAATTCAAACTAGAAGTTTCGGTTGCAAATACCAAACCTCCCGGTTCAACACATAGGCTAGAAGTGGAAAGGGGGAGGGAGGGGAGGGTCACTTTCGTTCCAAAAGACCTAAACTTTGGGTTCGAGGTCTCTATCTTGGTCTAGGAAAAAGGACCAGAACTTCCAGTCTCAAAGACCGGAACTTCCAGTCATCCTTCCAAGTCTGAACGGAGACTTCTTACTTTAAGTTCCGATGAAAACTACCAGAACTTTTTGTGTGAGTTCATAGATTACCCATTTTTCCTTTGAGAGTGTGGTGCATTGTATATCTCTTTACAGGATCAAGGTGACTCTAGAGCAGTTAGACACGAGAAAATTGCAATATTGGGATTGCAAACATGGGGGCTTCGCTGTTTTGACACTCTGTTTGGATGACAAATGGGCCCATCTGTGTCTATGAAATGTGGGTCAAGTGTCATTATAGCAAAGGTTAATGTTTGCAGTGTCATAATTGCAAATCCCCCGTTAGACACAATGCTAGCCATTGACATGAGCCCCTAATGCGGCTTTCCTATGACTCAGATCCAAATAAAAATGAATTTAAACCGCCTTGAGTCAATGCACCACTTCTCATTGATTTGCAAGGGTCTCCATATCATAAGATTATCAACACATGAGCCTAATACCTGCGCTTATCTCATTTAAAGCGATTAGTCCCCTAATTGTCTTGTCATCTATCACCAAAACCTACTGGGGATCTAGGTGCACTTTCAGTAGTAAGTTCCTTGTGTATGTACCAATCCAGAAATACTCCTAGGTGAAAGTATCTTATAGGTATATTGTCTCTCTTACAACGGGAGTAACACGATTTGGTAATCAGAAGGGGAAAGTGAATAAAAAGGGTACACTACTCATTTTGATATGGTACTTAGAAACACATTGATCGGGATGAAGAAGGGATGAGCAACTCCACGAGTTACATACAAAAGGAACCCAACTTCTAAGGGACAAATGATGGAAGTGGTCAACTTTCGTAACAAATATAGAATTTTCTCGCCGAATAATGTTGTGTGCCACTTGCAATAGTAAAGTCTATTACGAATCATCATAAGATATCACAAGCTACATAATTACAACATTTCCTTCGAGTGTGTTCGAAAGAGGTGTTGTGAACATCACCACGCGCACGAAAAATGGGGTGGCTCATTAGCGCATGATTAATTAAATATTTAAAAAAAATGAAAAAGGATTAATATGACTTTCTACAACAACTTTCGTATGGATTTTTTTTTTCAAAAAACACACCGTTTAACAATTCAGGAAGTGTGTATGCAGAAAACGAGGGAGTAGGCGATGCGAACCATGACTTTCGAACACACCCTTATTCTCACTAATGGATTGCCTCATTTTTGAAGTGCCAAACAAAGTAGCAAAAGAAAAATAAACATATACGAGTGATGCATTGTCTATAAAAAGCATGTGCTACATTTCACTGAAATCTAATTTAAACTATCATCAGATGATGATATCGCTTGTAATCAACGAAACATAGCGAGCCTTTGTTTGTCACAGCTACCGAACAAATATAGTTGCCCTGTATAATTTTGGAAGTTAAGTCAACAAACGAACGAAAGCCATGTATACGTAATAAAGCCATATGATATTATAAGAGATATACTACGTAAATATTGTCTAAGGACAAAATTATCTGCCACGCTCCACTAAAATCAAATATGAACTATGATAAGATGACGTTTGTCACCAACAAAGGAGGCGCTACCTTCTATTCCTCACCGGCTCACCGCTATCCTCTCTCCCACCGATGGACTGCTCGGTGTTCTCTCTTGCGTCAATGGCCTGCTCGGTGCTCTCTCTTGCGTCGATGGCCTGCTCGGTTTTGGAACTAGCAAGTATGAACTAACCAGGGATGCAAAATCCATATCTAGATGAAGGCACATCTGTACCCCTGGACCTACCCCTATATATAGCACTCATGTTTGAGAGTAAAACCATTGCCTATCAAACAACAGAGTGTTTAAGTATCCTGGCATAAGCACAAGCAGGTCAGGAGGTACTTTGCACACTCTGTTCGCTGGTAAGCCGCGTTAGCGGGCGTTCGGTAGACAGTTTGTTTCTCTAATCACTTCCACAGCCTGTTTAGCACTCTAATCCCCGCCATTTTTGCTTAAACCCCCCTCCCTTTCCGCGTCTTCTCCGTTTCCACCCCATTTCGCTTCCCGATCACATCACCGAACGAGAGAGCTAGGAAGAGGAATAAGAGGAAGGGGAGGAAATTTTCGAAACGCGAACCCTAGGGTTCGCGGTCGCGGTCGCGGGCGCGGGCGATGAAGATCCCGTTCGTGACCAAGTGGTCGCACCGGTCGCACGAGCCCGCCGCGCCGTCGAATCCGGCGGCGCAGCAGCAGCCGCCCCCGCCGTCCCCGGCGGGGGTGTCATCGGCCGCGGCGGCTGCGGTGGTGGAGGAGGCGGAGATGGAGACGGGAGGGGATGACTTCATCACGCAGGAGGAGGAGTACCAGATACAGCTGGCAATGGCGCTGTCGGCGTCGGCGTCGGTGTCGGCACCGAGCGGCGGCGGGGGCTCGGGGGACACGGAGGGGGAGCAGATCAGGAAGGCGAAGCTGATGAGCCTCGGGAGGGGCGACCTGAGCGCCGCCGCCGATCGTGGCGTGGGCGACTCCGCGGAGGCGCTCTCCCGCCGATACCGGGTGAGCTACTGAGCCTAATGTTAATTTCGCTGCATTAGTAGCTGGGTTTACAGAATGCTTGTGGTCCTTAAGATTGTTAGGGTGGCCTCAGGCCATTTCGTGTTGTAAATAGCATTTTGTGGGCACACTTCGCCACTAGGATATGCCTATGATGCATGCACAACACAATGGCTTAATGCATGGTCATTAAGGATTTTAAGGTAGGGTTCAGCTAGTTCAATGCTTTATAAAAAAGTTTTAACACTTTGGTTGATAATCTCAACAATTGGAGTGAAAAATTGAGTAGTGTGGACTGTGGAGTAGTGATGATCTTGGCAAAATATGGAAAATAAGGTTGTAGCTGAACCACACACTCATTTGCTCAGATGCTTTCACAGTGAGTTCATGGATACTCTGTTCTAATTTTGGCATGCTGTTGGTTTCTAAATAAGGCTGTTCTAGCCCTGCAAAAGGATTCTTACCTTGTAAAGGTAGCAAGACTGACCTTTAAATAAATTAAAAGGTTAGGCCAATATAACTGTCTGTTTACACAGATGATTCAGATTTGCAAATCTAGGTTCTGACACATTTATAACCAGTTCCTATATTACTTCACCATACATATTTTAGCAATGAAGAACAGTTTCATGGTTGAACTTGCACAACAACATTTAAGAAATATGCTAGTGGATACCTGTCCATATTATATAATGTAAAGAGGACCAAAACTTCTTAATTAAGAGCATTCATTAGGAAACTATTGGTCGGAATAAGTGGAAACAATATAATGCCTGCCAGAAGAGATCAAGAAGTCAATCCTGCTGGCCTCCTGATATCCACATTAGGCTTCATCACCATGGAAGCAACAATTATTTGAAAGGGAAAGTCAGAAGTCTGCTATGTGAATTCAAGACTATCAGACTATGTTAAAGTGTTTCTAGTTTTGTTATTTTATTTTGCGTCAGTAGCTTTTTAATAGGAAAATCTGGTACTTTTCACATGGTAGGTTTTTAGTTGGATTTGATGATCTTTAATCAACAAAATCTGAATCAAATGGTAATAGATTTCTCGATGTTGTTGGCAAATATCTAACTAGAAGGCCTGGTCTGTAGTTATAGGGGAGGATGTAATGTTCATATGTATTTGAGTTTCAATTCATAAAACCTGTAAAAGGCTACTTGCCTATAACCACTCAAATGTGGAGTAATCACTAGAAAATTGCATAAATGGACACATCGACACACAATATGCATGCAGGGGTTTATTTGTATTCATGTTATCAGAAGTGCGTTGCAAACCACTAGGCAGTAATATCCTGACGATTCATTAACCGATACATTCATACAAGATATGAATATTATTGGTATTTGCAATAACTACCTTCTATTTAGGGTTTATGGAACTTATATGAAAAGTTATCGGATAATTTTCTATTCTAATTACATGTTCATATACAGTCCAATTCGCTATCTTTTGAATCATCAAGACCAAATTTGTGTATAGTAAAATATGCAGCCACGCACAGACCATTTACTATGTCTTCAATTAATTATTTCAAAATTTAGATAAATAAATATGCTACTTTCTGGAATTAGTAGTTTTGAAATCCAAAATTGTAGATAAAAAAATCCACCTGATATATTTTATGGTTTTTTTTGATCCTATAATTCTAAATTTCTGGATATATACCAAGCTGTACTTGGCATTGAGTATTAATTGACCGTTTCATTATTTAATAATTCCAAAATTCGGAATTAATAATTATCTATTGACTTCACTTGGAGTCTCATTTTTAGTATTCTATTGGTTTAATAATTTCGAAATTTGGGATTAAATGTCGCAGTCGGTTTGGAGTCTTAATTTTAGGACACTATTGGTTTACAATATCTGCGAGTTGTATCTGTCATGAACTCTTTGTTTAATCTAAAACATTATGATCTGGTCCCACGATTCTTGGATGGACAGATCCCTTTGTTGTTCTCCAACTAACGTGCTAATTTCTTGGGGATGCTTAATTAGGGTACTTTTGAATGGAGGTTGTCCACCTCTGATTTCTTTATGTTTTGGCACTAGCTATTGCGATCTATTTAGTCCTATATCTAATCTGTATTCTAACTTCCTTTAGGACTATAACTTTCTTGACTACAATGAGAAAGTTATAGATGGGTTCTATGACATATTTGGACTTTCCGGGGAGTCGGCCAGGCAGGGAAAGATGCCATCGCTTGCAGAACTTCAGACCAGCATTGGAGATCTTGGCTTTGAAGTGATTGTGGTCGACCATAAGTTTGATAGTGCCTTGCAGGAGATGATGGAAGTAGCACAATGCTGCATGTTGGGCTGTCCTGATACTACAGTATTGGTGCGACGAATAGCTGAAGTTGTTGCAGGACATATGGGTGGTCCTGTGATAGATGCAACTGAAATGTTTACGAAATGGTTGGGCAAAAGCATTGAGCAGAGGACATCACATCAGACAAGCCTGCTGCCTATAGGCCGCATTGACATAGGCTTGTCTCGGCATCGTGCCTTACTTTTCAAGGTCAGGTCTCTCCCTTTCCGCAGATGTGTGGAGTGGCAACTACCAACTTTTCAATTGATTTATTGGTTAACATGCCTATTCCACCAAAAAGAAAAATCTAAACCATATTTTTTGCATTGATGATCGGCAATTTGCTGAGGATGTGGAACACTATCTTATATACATATTTTTATCAACATATTGCATCATCTTATCAGTATGTTTGGATCTTGTAATCTGTTTACTGTCTTACCTGCTCTCATGTGTTGGTGCATCTTATGTATTCTGCCATACTGCCCAGTACAGTGGATTAGACTGTGAGACTGTCCCATCAATGCCCAAAATGCAGTATCAGTTCGTATGTTATAAGTAAAGTGCACTGTTGCTCTCTAAACTTACACATGAACTTTTGGGTCTTGAAACTCTAGGATTGCACATTTATGCCCTGATACTAAAGGCATTGATCTTTCTTAAGTGATAAACCTTTTGATGTGATACCTAGCATTGATCTTGGCAGTACTTGGCATAAGTGGGTCAATAAAGGTTCAGATCCTTCTTAAGTGATAATTATAGATGATGTGATACCTAGCATTGATCTTGGCAGTACTTTTCAAGCACTATGTAGACAGGCTTGTAAATATCTTGATGTTTAAAGCAATAATTATTTATCAATGCTTAGTATGATGTGTGAATGAAATTAACATTAGATAGCCAAATCTGACGAGAGAACATATAATGCTTTTGCATAATTATGAAATCCTTTCCACATGTCTTCGCAGTTAGCTTACAATCATAACATGCTCTCTCAGTTCTTATGCATTTTCATGCAGATTCTTGCTGACAGTGTTGGTATTCCATGCAAGCTGGTTAAAGGGAGCCATTACACTGGTGTTGAAGATGATGCTATTAACATTGTAAAGATGAATAACGAAAGGTATTTCCATGTCTAGGCATTATTAGTTGTTCATGGAATCACATTTCTACTATCTAATAATCTGTAAATTTCTTATTCATCCATTTTTACTTTAAATGTTATACTTCAATTTGTTTCTTACCCACTTTTTTTTTTAAATCTTTTTTCTGTGTTGTACTGTAGGGAATTTTTGGTTGATGTTATGGCTGCCCCAGGAACACTCATTCCAGCAGATGTCTTTATTTCAAAGGGTACTCCATTCAACTTGACTAAACCGTTGGTGCAGAATCAGGTGGTTGAATTGGCAAGTAACATTGAAAATGACCCAAGTGCAGCTCATTCTGAGCATGTAGGCAACCGATTGCATATGTTTGGCAATGGTAATTCGTTGTCAGAAAATCAATCAGGGTGTGAAAAAACCATGATAGCTGGAAGTGAGGTTAGTCAACTCTGGACATTGGCACCTCAGATGCAATCTGATCAACAATCAACTTCTGCTGGCGCACATTCAATGCAGAAAGAGGACTTGAAATTAACTCCAGACTCTCAAGAAAATGAAGAGTCTAAAAAGCAAATTTCAGAGACTGATTCTTTCAGGGGTATTGAACTGGGTAAAAGTTCATTGGCATTCAAGGGATTAAACAATAGAAATAATGAATATCAAAGGCATAGAGAGAATATAGCTCCAGCACCTGGAAGATCTCAACAACCATTGGTGATGAAAAACTGGTCAGCTTGTAATGACATTTCTAACAAGCAATACAATATTGCTGAGAGGTTAGTTCGTCGGAGAAACACTAGCGACAATGCTGCATCGTCATCTCAGTTGGCCTGGTCAACTGCAAAGCATTACAATCCCAATGGCAGAGAGCGTAATGATAGGTTATGTGCAGCACCAGGTCGTAATTATGACAATAGAAAAGTTGGTGCCTCAACTACGGCAACAGCTTCTGCCACTGGAGAACGCCTGGATAGACCAAACCTGGCACCTGTTCATTACTATGATGACAAACCGAATGGTATTTCTTCAGTGAATGCAGCTTCTACATCTGGAATCGTGAAGGTTGCAGAAAAGGGCCCTCATGATCTGGAAAAAGTTCCCATCTATTCTAGATTTGACAGTCAAATCTATAGTAGTATGCAAGGGTATTCTCCAGAAGTGAAGGAGAACAAGGAAAACTATGATAGGCATGACAACATGAGGTTACATCCTGATCCAAGAAGGTCCCCTCTAGACAGATTCATGGACACATCAAGGCAGAACTCAGAATCTGTTTCTCCACCCCAAGCTGGGTCAAGCACCGTTGACATGGTGTTGGGCGAAGTTTCTGAATGTGAAATCCTCTGGGAGGATCTTCTAATTGGTGAAAGGATTGGCCTAGGTACACAACTGTTCTTTTGTTTTATCTGTAATATACTAATTCACTCATTGAGCTGATTGTAGGTTGCACTATCCCTTGTCATAAAATGTAAGAAATATTCACTAGCATTACTGCAAAAAATAATTTTTAAAAAATTGCACTGTTATCCTATCATAAGCATGTGTTTTTGGAGTTTCTTTTGTGCATTAGGAGCTCTTGTGTTGCTATATCTTTAAATATATGACAATTAAAAGAGTTTCCTTGTAATTTGTAGGTTCGTATGGAGAAGTATACCATGCCGATTGGAATGGAACTGTAAGTGCACCTATGTCAAAGAATGGTCTATGTCTGTGATGTACTCTGGGATCCGCTATCAAATAATTTTGATGGAGCCCCTTCCTGATATTAAGAAAGTTCTTTTGATATCAACTGATCATTATAATTAAAATGTGACATTTTACTTATTTACAGGAAGTGGCTGTAAAGAAGTTTTTGGATCAAGAGTTCTATGGTGATGCTTTGGCTGAATTTCGTTGCGAGGTATGTGAACATTTTATGATTTTGATTTTTCACAAACTTAATGTTATATTATTACTGTTATTTCCGCTTGTAGTCCCTGAATCATTTGATAATTCTCTTTTAATAGGTGAGGATTATGCGCCGGCTTCGTCATCCAAATATTGTACTCTTTATGGGTGCAGTAACACGGCCTCCACACTTGTCCATTGTATCAGAATACCTTCCTAGGTATAGCAAGTTTGTGTTTTCAAATAAAGTAGGTCATAACATGTGTAGTCAGTCCAATATGACACCAGCTATAGCCGTACAGAACTACAGAAGTAGTAATGCAGTGTTGCATTCATGACTAAAACTAAATGAAAAGATGCTCATTATGATACCTGTATTAAACACGAGTTGTTATTGCTGACTAGCTTTAAAAAAATGGGGGCTATACTATATGAATGTTCAAATTTTCACAGACAAAGTGCTCTGTTAGGTTAGGCTAGACCTGTTAACATGAGTGTTATGGCATTTTTTTTTGTCAGTATTGGATCAAATGGTTCGTGTTTCAGCAATGACTTTAATCAAATTGTTATTTCTTTTTAGGGGAAGCTTGTATACGATTATTCATCGCCCTGATTGCCAAATTGATGAGAAGTGCAGGATTAAAATGGCCCTTGATGTGGTAATGGTTGGATTCTGTATTTTCAATTTTATCATCATGTGCATGCCCTTATTATGATTTATTCACTCTGCAGGCCAGAGGCATGAATTGTCTTCATACTAGTGTACCGACAATTGTTCATCGGGATCTAAAATCACCAAACTTGCTGGTTGACAATAATTGGACCGTTAAGGTATCTATCTGCTTTCGAGAACCAAAGCCTGAAAGCTTGTTGTTAGCTAACAAATTACATTTACAGGTCTGTGATTTTGGACTTTCACGTTTGAAGCACGGTACATTTTTGTCATCCAAATCCACTGCAGGGACTGTAAGTAATTGGCATTCCGACTAGAATGATTCTTTCCTCTTAAAGTTGTCGAAAGCTTCATGTACCCTGTCTTAAAATTTATGGCTTCCCCCTCTTAACAGCCTGAGTGGATGGCACCAGAGGTATTAAGGAATGAGCAGTCAAATGAGAAGTAAGTGATTTTTAACACCATTTTCAATTGTTTTTATTTGCTACTACCTCCATCCCAAAATATAAGAAGTTTTGGGGTTGGACACCGGTATTAAGAAAATAGGTGAAATTAAATAGGGGAATGTTGCGATTAATTGAAAAGAGGAAGTAGGTGGAGAAATTAAAAGATAAAATGTTGTTATTGGTTGAGAAGTGAATCTAGATGGAGAAGTTATGTTTTATGACAAATTTTAAATGCTAGAAGCTGTTATATTTTTGGATGGAGGGAATATTTTTCTGCTTAGGATTTACTGTAACAAATTTCCTGTACTTCATACATGTTTAGCCGAGCTTAAATTTCACTCTCTACCTAATGAGGTTTATTCTATAGACTAATGCAAGCAGTTATTTGACCTATATGGATAAGATACCTTGTCCGAGTAGATAAGCCATCACAGAAGTTAGGCTTAATTGAATATAATCTATTCTGCGATGTCTCTATGTGGAGCATTTTGTGGTTAATTGATAATTGATTATATTTTTTTTAGCTTCGTGTGACTTATCCTAGCTTCTAGAACCCGTACCATCTATGTCATTCATTTTCATTGAAATTGAAATAGGATATTGGCAACCTATACATAATACAAACTGGATAGAAATGTAATATGGCAGGCTTTGTGGATTATGCGGAGCTGCTAATAAGAATGACAACAATTTGAATTTTTAGTTTAATTACATCTACCATGGAATGTTCTGAAATTCATTTACTTCATCCCTGGTGCCTGTCATGTCAATGCCAAGGAGGGTGATGAATTTGAAATGTCATGCAACATGATTGTGCTCCATTTTTTCATACTGACTGAACCCTCTATCCAGATGGCTGAGGGTGCCATTGAATGGTGTGACTGCGGCACATGATTCTATTCCTGCTGCACATAGTAAAAACCATTACTAAATATCAATTACAAAACACCTTATATTGTCTTGTAGAGATCACATCTGTCCTATGCATTGGCATCATCTTTTTTTAGAGAAAAGACTCCATTGGCATTATCTTATTCTCTCTGAAGAATTCAAGTTGAATTTCTCTCCGGCCTTTATTTCTGTTGGCACACTAGACAACACATTGACAACTGCAGCTAATCGTCGTTGAGAGTTTTGCAGGTGTGATGTTTACAGCTTTGGTGTCATCTTATGGGAACTAGCAACACTACAAATGCCATGGAGTGGCATGAACCCCATGCAAGTTGTGGGTGCAGTTGGTTTCCAGGATAGACGGCTTGATATCCCCATGGAGGTTGATCCTCTAGTTGCATCTATTATACAGGACTGCTGGCAGAAGTGAGTTTTTATTAAAAAAAGACATGAAGGCTTATTTAAGTGTTTTGGTTAGGAGGGATATGAAGCCTTCTATTCTTTGTTGTTAACTTTACATTGCAGTTGTACTAATACATGATTTATCTCTGTTACCATTTTCACTTTCAGGGATCCAAACTTGCGCCCTTCTTTTAGCCAGCTAACTAGCTATCTGAATACATTGCAAAGGCTAGTAATCCCTTGTCATCAGGAGACAGCGGGCTCCTATGTACCGCAAGAAATATCGTTATACCGGTGAAACTCTACCCATGAGGTCGTCATACAGCAACTGTGAATAAAGAGCAATTGTGATTTTGCCGTTACATTTGGGCTCAATAGTCTGCAAAGGCATGGCTTGGTTTAGAGCCCCAGTTCCTGTCCAGATAGCAGTCATCCTGCTGTTGCAAGATAAAAAGGCTTGGCAGCGGAGTATGTGTACAGTATAGGTCGATCAGATAAACAGTCGGAGAAGAAAATCAAATGTCACCTGTTTCCTTTTTCTTTTTCATGTGCCCCCCATCCCCATTGTGTCGTCTGAACTGTGGAGAATCCCCAAAAAAAAAAATGAAAGAAGAAAAATGTGTAACTGTATGGACGAGTTTATCTTATAAAGAAGTTAATAGTCTGGAATATTGTGCATATCGCGTGCCTGATTGGTGGCGGCTATGTTTGAGAAATAGATGTTGCTAGTATATCCTTGGAGTAAATTGAATCGTCGGTACACGAACTTGTCAGATAGTGCAATCTAGTATATGAACTTGTAAAATGCTCACTTTGGTATATGAACTTGTCTAGTGCGTGCGGAGGAAGGCGAAAAGGACACTACATGGCTAATCTTATTGATTCAGAGGCCGATTAGGATACTATGTAAATATATATCTGAGAGAAGGTTGCTATTAGATATACACCTCTTCAATAAAATATGGCTAATCTTATTGATTTAGGGCTGATTAGGATATTATGTAAACATATATCTGAGAAGATTGCTATTAGACATACACCTCTTCAATAAAAAATAGAGTAGGATATAGCGATAGTAGAAAAAGATTAAAAAACCAAGCAATGATATAAGGGTTAGAAATATACCAAATTCATCTTTTCCATGATGAAAGATAAAACTAGAGACCAAATTTATAAATATTGCATGTCTTATGCATATTTACTACACGTATGCACGTCATATCTTAATCAACATCAGCTTCGTAAAATTAACATTGCCAAGTTATTTTTATCTTCGTTTGCACTAACTAGATAAGTTCGTTCGTGTACTGAAACAAGCATTTTACAAGTTTATGTACTAAATTACACCCAACTAACAAGTTTATGTACCACCAATACAATTTACTCATATCGTTCATTTACAGCAGGCCGAAAAGCGCTCGTATTTTATCGCCTTCTCAGAGTATAGCATCATGCTGCATGTCCAAGTTTCAGATGTTCATGTTTAATCAACACCTTGCCCTCACTGTCCCATGGTAATCACAGGGGCAATTTCTTGAACAGTTTTATATCGACCCATCCAGCATGAAGCATTTTTCAACCAGGAAAAGAACAAAGGTAAACACATGCTTCAGTTGAACTAGAAGGCTGTAATGCGTAAATGCACCAGCGCAGAACTGCAGACGGGCACATTAGGTTTCAGGCAATTTGCAACGATCAAATTGCAACCCCATATACACATGTTTTTGGAGAAGTTGAACGCTAAAATGCGCCAAACAGAAACTTCCCAGACATGGCAGAAACATCAAACATCCCTATGAAATTCATTTTGCTCGTGGACGCTGATATTCATCCCAGAAAACCTACTCCTATCGGTTGCCTGCGACTGGAAGTCCGATGGATAATCCTACCAGCATTCACAATTTCACACCTCTCAGTCTCTGATATATGTATCGCAAATCATTGGGCAGAAACTTTGTCAGTGTGTCGATGATGATGCCGGTGACTTCTTCTATGAGCTCGCACCTCCCTTCTCTTCACAATAGTACCCGTGTTCTCCGCAGACTTCTTGTTTTCTATGTCGCCGTCTGGAGAACCAAGTATACAAGCCAGTGGATCCTCCATGAGGTCTCCAAATGATCTCTGCAAACATAGACATGAAAAAAGTTTAATCATCTTGCAGGGAGTTACGAAAATTTGGATTCTGGACACAACTTACAGTGTTTGTAGTTCTGTGTCCAGAAATTGAACCAGACCCATTACTTGAGTTCTTAACTTCGATCTCCTTCACCCTTTCCATAAAAGTGCTGTCAACATAAGTATGGCGTAGACGCCACCTGAAAAGTGGCATATCTTGATACTGATCACTAAACAGATGCTCAGCAAAGAAGTGTTGTTTTACAGCTTCAACCAGTGTCTTTTCATCATTATGCTTAGTAAGTATTCTGTTAATGAAACAAGTAGTTAGTTGGAGCACCTGATACACTATCAAATCATATTATTTGATTTATTTCACAGCACATACATGTTAGCTAGCTCCATCTTCATGCGCTCTTCTCCACCTTCCAAAATGAAAATAGGACTTGCTTGCAAGGCGGTATAATATGCAAACTTTCCAACAATCCATGCACTGCCTGGAACATGACACCAGTAAATAAGCATTAACAACGGAGAATATAAAAATAGAACATAATACAAATAAAAAAGAGTCGATCCATCAAATATTTTTGTAGGTTGTGACCAAGGTTCATTCTGAGTTGATTTTACAATATATTGCAAGTTTAAATGTATAAACAAGAGTCACTACAAGATCCAAAAAAGGCCTTGAGATTTACCAGCAGCCATGCCAATTCTTGGTATCCGAGGAAGAGGTGGATTGCCTAATAATTTTGCTCCTGCACAACAGAATATAGGTAAGGAATCATGTGTTTTGTACCTAAAGCAAGCCCTTCAACTGCAAGGGTACTCAATAATGATAGTTTTTCAACTTTAATTTTTATGAAATTGATTCTATTCAAACTTTTTCAACTTTAATTTTTATGAAATTGATTCTATTCAAACTAAACTGTTAGAAAAACATGACTACACAGCATATGTTCAACACCCAGTGAACCCAAATATTAATACAAAGCTGAAATATGTCATAAACTAAGCCAGAATGCTTCATACACATTTAGATAGACATATAACCCCATCATTATCACCGTGAAAAACATAATTGATAATAATAAAAACAACACCACGTCTGGTGCAGAACTTATGGAAGATGTTTGGATAAATGACAGTACTGATAAATTGGCTTGGCTAGAACAAAGGAACAGTAGAATTTCTTCCATTTCAGTTAGATAAACTGTTCATCAGACAGAATGATTATTTAGAAAGTGAAAATGCTACTGTTTTCTTCAAAGAGAGTAAATTATCACGTTCAACTAGTATTGTTGTTTTGAGTTTTGATATAGCACAAACATTTTCTAGGTGAAATTTTAACCACATTTATAATTTTATATTCAATTTGGACATATAATTTCCAAGACTAAAATCGTTCAGATGGCTTGAATTTATGAACTAACCTACATAATACCACAAAATGAACAGCATTTATAGACATGATCTTAATATCCATCCCAACCTTGCATGAAAAAGACATCACTGGAGATTACCCATTCCAATCCAAAATATCATTTAGCAATAGCTAAAGGAGACATCCACTGTACACAATTAGATGGTCAGTCTACTCAAATTCTATCGTCTTCACGTAGAATTCGACGTGCCAATTGGTGTCTCCTACCGACACCAGACATACTACTTATTTTCTCATTTACAGCTACCACAAAAATAATGGCATCTCATCACAGATTCACAGGTTGAGCGCGCGCTCACCGACACCGAGAACATGATACCCGACTAAAGCGGACGTCGCGGTGGCGAAGGCCTTGCACAGGACCGCGGTCACCTTACTTGCATAGATCTTGACCTCCTCACCCTGGGTCATGTCGCCCTACAGCACCAGAAATCTTACTCAGCCACGCAAAAAAACCCCCCACACAATCCACCAAAACCGGAACAAGAACAAGAATCTCCTGTTCCTGAAAAAAAACCTTGGCCCGAAGCGATTCCTCCAGGTCGAGAATCACGGGGGTCTCCTGCAAACACACATCGGGAAGAAAAGAATCCATCAAATCCGATCGGTTCTCACGCACCGGACGAAAGAGGAGGAGGAGACACGGGACGGCCAAACCTTGCCTCGTAGGAGGGCGGAGACCTCCTTCAGCACCTGCACCTGCTGCATCACCATCGCCGCGGTCTCGTCCCCTCCTCTCTCTCTCTCCCCTCCCTTCGCCTTGCGAGGCGTGCGGAATGGGGGAGAAGAGAAGCGGCGGAGATCACACGAGGACGAAGGGTAATTCGGGATCGGCGTCGGAGCGGCGAAATGGGCCGAAAGGCCCATATTCCGGTGCTCCGCGGGCCAAAGGTTGGGCCGGAAACATCGAGGCCCACTAGGATATCGGCCCATGTGTAGATCTGCAAGCATGTGAAGTGGCCTTGTTCGGAACGGGATTGAAGAAAGTTTACTTTAGGTCCTCATGCGGCTCCAGTCACTAAACCAGGAAACCAGGTACGTGAAGCGTCCCCCGACTAATAAAATCAGTGCAAGTTAATAGTTTATCAGGGGAAGCTTTTGGCAGCTATAATTTCTTCTAGAATCAAAAATTTCTCCAAACAATCTAGCTTTTCCTCCTCACAAGAAATTGTTAGTTGTAGAATTTAGAAAATGAACTAGAAGCCGGAAGCTGGAAAACCCAACTTCTCCTAATTCTCATAAGTTGGCTACCAACCAGAAAATTCTAAAAATCTTAGACTCTCTAAACAGGACCTAAATACCTTCCTTGACAATATTAAGGGCGATTTTGGTCTTTTTGTCCCATGTGACTGCTACAAGGGACTAAAAGTGAAAGTAAAAATATATATTTGGCTCGCAAGTCTGCGGGTGTCAAAGTAAAATATAAGGGCCTCATCTTTCGTTTATGTTTATGCTTATCAACCAAAATTTAAATTTTTCAACCTTAAATTTGGAGATGATTTTAAGGTTTTTTTTCATCGAAGTTTAGCTTTTGGCAGCTATAATTTCTTCTAGAATCAAAAATTTCTCCAAACAATCTAGCTTTTCCTCCTCACAAGAAGTTGTTAGTTGTAGAATTTAGAAAATGAACTAGAAGCCGGAAGCTGGAAAACCCAACTTCTCCTAATTCTCATAAGTTGGCTACCAACCAGAAAATTCTAAAAATCTTAGACTCTCTAAACAGGACCTAAATACCTTCCTTGACAATATTAAGGGCGATTTTGGTCTTTTTGTCCCATGTGACTGCTACAAGGGACTAAAAGTGAAAGTAAAAATATATATTTGGCTCGCAAGTCTGCGGGTGTCAAAGTAAAATATAAGGGCCTCATCTTTCGTTTATGTTTATGCTTATCAACCAAAATTTAAATTTTTCAACCTTAAATTTGGAGATGATTTTAAGGTTTTTTTTCATCGAAGTTTAGCTTTTGGCAGCTATAATTTCTTCTAGAATCAAAAATTTCTCCAAACAATCTAGCTTTTCCTCCTCACAAGAAGTTGTTAGTTGTAGAATTTAGAAAATGAACTAGAAGCCGGAAGCTGGAAAACCTAACTTCTCCTAATTCTCATAAGTTGGCTACCAACCAGAAAATTCTAAAAATCTTAGACTCTCTAAACAGGACCTAAATACCTTCCTTGACAATATTAAGGGCGATTTTGGTCTTTTTGTCCCATGTGACTGCTACAAGGGACTAAAAGTGAAAGTAAAAATATATATTTGGCTCGCAAGTCTGCGGGTGTCAAAGTAAAATATAAGGGCCTCATCTTTCGTTTATGTTTATGCTTATCAACCAAAATTTAAATTTTTCAACCTTAAATTTGGAGATGATTTTAAGGTTTTTTTTCATCGAAGTTTATTTTTCAGACTTTACTTTTAGATAGCTAAGAACATATATATATATATATATATATATATAAAAGTTTTATTCACAAATTACTTTTTATTTGCAAATATGCCGTTATGGTGGCTCCGTAAATAAAAACATAAATTGGGCTCGCAAGTATAAGGGTGTTCGGTTAAAAAAATAAAAATAAAATCTCGCAAAAAATAATAAACAAAATGCAGTAGACCACATGTCATCACCTTCTCTTACCCTTACTCTCTCTCTCTCCCTCGCTGCTGTTTCACGTGGCCGCCGGGGAGTTGGCGATGTCGCGTAGGAACAAGCAGTTGGCATCGGATGATCGGAGTGTCTGTGTGTGCACAGTAATCACTAATCAGAGAGACGACATCTTGAACAGTTTTTTTTTTTTTCGCGGGGGGACATCTTGAACAGTTTAAGTTGATCCATCCAGCACGAAGCATTTTTCAACCAGGAAAAGAAAAGGTAGCACATGTTCAGCGCAGAACTGTAGATAGGCACATTAGGTTTCAGGCAAATAATCTGCAGTGGTCAGATCGCAAGTCAAAACCACATGTTCCTGGACATGGAAGAAACATCGAACATCCATATGAGCTTCATTTTGCTCGTGGACGCAAAATATTCATCCCAGAAATCTACTCCTATCGGCCTCCTGCGACTGGAAGTTCGAAGGACAATCCTAGCATTCACACATCTGAATCTCTGATATAGATATCACAAATCACAGCGCAGAAAACTTGTCAGCATGTCGATGATGATGATGATGATGATGCCGGTGGCTTCTTCTGTGAGCTCGCACCTCCCTTCTCTTCACGGTAGTACCAGTGTGCTCAGCAGACTTGTTGCTTTGTATGTTGCTGTCTGAAGAACCAAGTATACAAGCTAGCGGGTCCTCCATGAGGTCTCCAAATGATCTCTGCAAACATAAACATGGCAAAAGAAGTTTGATCATCTTGCAGGGAATCATTAAAAAAATCGGATTTGCTATACAACTGTCGACAATTAACAGGTGTGAAAACTTTCAAATTGTATAGCTACTCCCCTAAAAAAATTTGGATTCTGGCCACAACTTACAGTGTTTGTAGTTCTGTGCCCAGAAATTGATCCAGACCCATCATCCGAGTTCTTAACTTCGATCTCCTTCACCCTTTCCATAAAAGCGCTGTCAACATAAGTATTGCGTAGATGCCACCTGAAAAGTTGCCTATCTTGATACTGATCGCTAAACAGATGCTCAGCAAAGAAGTTCTCTTTTACAGCTTCGACCAGGGTTTTTTCATCACTATGCTTATTAAGTATTCTGTTAAAGAAACAACTAGTTAGTTGGAGCACCTGATACACTATCAAATCAAAGTATTTGATTTGTTTCACAGAACATACATATTAGCAAGCTCCATCTTCATGCGTTCTTCTCCACGTTTCAAAATGAATTCAGCACCTGCTCGCAAGGCTGTATAATATACAAATTTTCCACCAAACCAGGCAATGCCTGAAACAAGGCACCAGCAAATTAGCATTATCAATATGAACAGAGAAGATAAAATCAAAACTAAAATTTTACGAATAAAGAACTGTCAATCCATCAAATATATTTGTAGGTTCATTCCCCTGAATCACTTTGACATCCCAGACGATGAGAAAAGTACTAGCATATTTCATCCACTGCTGAGTGTAGCTAGCAAACAATAGGTTTTGTCAACTATGCCAAGTGATTTTACAATATATTGCAAGTTTACATGCATGAATGGTGGCAAAAACAATGCCATAATAAACACACAAATGGGTTATCTCTATTTCTAAGAGTAGCCAGCCTGGAACCTTCAAATTTGACTTTGCTTTTGGAATATCAAATACACATTATGAAACTCAAATAACATGTACATATAAGTTAATGTTCAAAGAACATATACATATAAGTTAATGCTTTCTACATATTGTTAGAGAATCCCCACCAGTGGTAAGGTGACTATAAGTTAATGCTTTCTACATATCGTTAGTGAATCCCAATGAGCAAGCCACCTGTCTTCCCCCCTCATTCCCTGCTGAATTGTCCGAAAATTGGTACCGGACTGGCAATGTTTCTTGGTCCAGGACTAGAGTAATATAAAACTTGCCTGCAACTCTGCATGGCATTGCGATCATTGATATACAAGAGTCACTAAAAGACACCAAAGGCACCCTTCTTCAGCCAGAAGGAGGGCACTTGCCAAGCTTGGGGCAGCGCCATTAATTACATACCGGTTTTGATGCTTTCAAATTAGGCGGGGCCGCGGGGTCTCAAGGGCTCTCTCTATTGACAGATCTAGAGTCCTAGGGTTAGAGTCAGGTTTGGTCATATTTTTGTGGCATAAGTGTGCTTGTAATCTGAAAGCTAAGGTGTGAGGTTGTTTATGTACTTCGGGCATCTTTACCCTTTTTTCTTCTTAATCTAATGAAACACAAATCTCCTGCGTGTTCGAGAAAAAAAAAAGTCACTACAAGATCCAAAAAACTGAGATTTACCAGTAGATACGCCGATTCTAGGAAACCGAGGAATAGGAGGTTCGCCTATTTTAGGTCCTGCACAACAGAATATTGGTAAGGAATCACACACCTAAAGGCCAAAGCAAGGCCTGAAAGGTTACTCAACAATGATAGCTTTGCAGCTGTACTCTATACTAAATTGTTTTCTTTATTTTAAATGAAAATAGCTTTTTACTTGTTATAAAAACACGACTATACTGACAGCATATGTTCAGGACCCAACAAACCCAAATATTAATATAAAGCCCAAATTTGTCATAAAGTAAGCCGGAATGCTTCATATGTAGCATTCAGGGTGAGAAAATTTAGGTAAGCATATAATCCCATTGTTATTTAATGTGAAAAACGTAATTGATAATAATAAAAATCAACATCCCTCTGGTGCAGAACATATCAAAGGCGATTAGAAAAATGACAACATCGATAAATTGCCTACGCTAATGGAGCAGCAGAATTTCTTCCATTTCAGTAAGATAAACCGTTTTTATTAGATGAAATGGTTATTTAGAAATCAGGGAAATGCTTTTTTTTATTAAATATCATCACTTTCAGCCAGTATTGTTGTTTCGAGTTTTGGTATATTACAACCACTTTTTATGTGAAATTTTAACCCTATTAAATATTTTTATATGCAATTTGCACATATAATTTCCAACACTAAAATCACGCAGATGTCTTGCATCTATGAACTAACTTATATAATACCACAAAATGAAAAACGTTTACAGACATGTTCTTATTCCCCCCCTCCCCCCGCGTCGCTCACGCGTCGGGCGGCTCGGGGGCGAAAAACCCTAGCCGCCCGCGCCTTCTCTCTCTCCCTCCCCCCACCTCGCCGCCGCTGGAGCCCGCCGGCGGCGAAGCCGGCAGTGGGCAGGGAAGGCGGCGGCGAGGCCTTCTTCTCTTTGTAGCGTCTCCCTCCTCGGTGCGAAGGACGAAGACGACGAAGCTCCCCACCGGCGTGGTCCATGGCGGCTACGGCGGCGAGGTGGGGAGGAGGCGGCGGATCCGGAGCCCCCATGGCCGGATCCGGCCCTCCCTCGCCTGGATCTACGCGGCGGCGGTGCGAGGAGGCCTGGGGCGGCGCGACGGCATGCGGCCGTGGTGGCGGCCGGCGGCCGGCTGCGGCTAGGCCGGCTCGGCACTGGCGCGGAGGCGGCGGACAGCTGTGGCTCGGCGTGGAGGCGTCTCGTCAGCGACGGGCGCGGGCGGCGGATGGCCGCGGCTCGTCGTGGCCGGTGGGGTCGCGGAGGCGGCGGGCGCGCGGAGGCGGCGGGCAGCTAAGCCTGCCCGAAGCGGCAACGGCGCCCCCGCTCACTCGCTCGGCCTGGCCGCCCGGCGCCAGCCCATGGCGCGGTGGGTCGTCCAGGCCTCGGTGGCGGCTCGGTGTGGTGGCCGGGCAGCCGGGATTCCGTCGCGGTGGCCAGGTGAGGCTCGGCGGCCGGACTTCGGGGGCGCCGGCGGGTGGCGCCGGTCCGGAGCAGCAGCACCACCGGCGGCCAGATGGCAGTGCAAAGGGAGCTGGCGGCGATGGGCCGTCTTCCTCGTTGCCGGTCGGCACCCTCGGCCTTCGTGGAGCTCCTCCCCTTCTTTGCGGGGAGTTTCTAGGTTGGATTGAGGCGGCAGCTCGTCAGTGGGGGAAGCTCAGGCTGCCGAAGCAATGCCACCTAGTCCCGGGTTCTCCTTCGGCCAAATCTGGCGAGGCGGCCGGCGGGTGGTGGAACGGAGGAGTCCTGGGCCAGCTTTCAGGGGTGGTGGTTCGTTGAAGTCGCCCGACGGAGGGGCGTCGGTGCGGTGTGGTGGATGCCACGTGCTGCCATTTGTCTGTGTGGTGGTTCTGAGTTGGTGGACGGCGATCTGCAGTCAAGGTTGTAGGGCCCCAGGCGAAAGCCTAGTCCGGTGGTTCACCGGGCCGGCAGCGGCTACGTCTTCGGGCGTCGTAATCTCCTTGGAGCGTTGTCGAGGGTTACCCTCTCCCTTTCTTGGCGAGCTTCTCTGGGTGAAAACTACATCTTTTTTGATGGGCGATGGCAGCATCCTGGATGTCGTGACCACCATGGTGGCATCGTTTTCGGAGCCTCGTCTCTGTGGTGTTGCTGTAGGCCTAGCGGCGTTCGGCCACGCTCAACGGGGGTCGTTTGGTGCTAGGTTTCACCCTCAGCGGTTTGTGCTTGGGTGGTAGCGCATGGTGTGTGGCAATGCACCTTGGTGCATTTTGATGTTTTTTCTCTTGTAACTTTTATTCCTTCTTAATATACTCGGTTGGCCTCCTTCGACCTTCCCGGCGAAAAAAGACATGTTCTTATTGCTATTTCCCGTTCAAGCCTTGCATTACTGGAAATACCCATTTCAATCCAACATACCATTTAGCAATAGCTAAAAGAAACTTCCAACTGTCCATGATTAGATAGATGGTCAGTCTAGCCAAATTCTCTCGCCATTTTATAAAATCCAATGTCACTTGGTCTCCTAACAACACTCAGGGGGTGTTTAGATACAGGGGTGTAAAGTTTTGGTGTGTCACATCGGATATTATATGGGGTATCGCATGGGGTGTTCGGGCACTAATAAAAAAAAACTAATTACAGAATCCATCAGTAAACCGCGAGACCAATTTATTAAGCCTAATTAATCCGTCATTAGTAAATGTTTATTGTAGCACCACATTGTCAAATCATGGAGCAATTGGGTTCAAAAGATTCATCTCGCAAATTAGTCGCAATCTGTACAATTAGTTACTTTTTTAGACTATATTTAATACTTTATACAGGTGTTTAAACGTTTGATGTGACATGGTGTAAAATTTTTGTGTGAGATCTAAACAGGGCCTCAATCACAATTGTTTTGATAAATTTTTGTTTGGTGTCTGACTGCTTGACAGATTCACAGATCGAGACGGGCGCGCGCATGCAGAGAAAGCTCACCGAGGCCGAGGGCATAATAACTCGACGCACCAAACGCCGCGGTGGCGAAGACCTTGAACACGCTCGCGGTCATCTTGCTGACCCGGATTGTGACCTCCTCCTCAAGCGTCATGTTCCCCTACAGCAGCAGCAGAATCGGAATCAGCAACTGCATAAACCACACCCAAATCCAAGAAACCAAGGGCGGAAAAGAAAAAAAAAACCAGAAAGGAGTCGCACGAAGAAGAAATCTGTTCATGCCGAGAACCTTGGCCAGTAGAGATTCCTCCAGGTCAAGAATCACCGGGTTCACCTGCAAGAAGCAACATCAACGGGAGAAGAAAAAGAAAAAAAATCCCCATGAAAGCCTCAGTGGCCTCACCGCCGCGCCAACGAAGGAGCTGTCACAAGCAAGCAGAGCGGGGGGTAGCAAACCTTGCCTCGTGCGACGTCGAAGATCTCCTTCAGCTCCTGCAGCCGCGGCATCACCATCGCCGCCGTCTCTCGCCCTCCTCCCCTTTGCAGGCAAGGTCGCGTGTACTGTGGAATACTGGAGAAAGCGGAGGAGATCACTCGAGGACGAAGAAGAGGTGGGGGGGTTAGTTTGGGCTCGGAATGGGCCAGATATGGGCCCGGAAGCATCACGGCCCAATAGGATGTTGGCCCATATGAGAAGCAAATTTACCTCCAAATTTGACCCTGTTCGCGCTGAACACAAACATTGTACAGTGTTTAACAAACTGTACAATGTTATGGCCGTTGTACAGTGTTATAGCCGTGTTATGTGGGCTCCCAATTGGACCTAACATTGTGCATCTTGCATTCTTGCGTGCTAGATTAATTAGTTTCTGCCAACAATTTCTCCATGTTTGAGATATAGATGTTGCTTACATCGTGCTAACAAACTGCAGATGGGCACATTAGGTTGCAACCTGATTGGTTCAACCAGAACTGCAGGTGGGCAAGCAATCTGTGATGATCAGATCGCAAGTCAAAAAACACATGTTTCAGTTAAAGTAGAAGGCCGCATTGCGCCAAGCAGAAACTTCCTAGACATGGAAGAAACATAGAAACATCCCTATGAACTTCATTTTGCTCTTGGACGCGAATAACCATCCCAGAATTCTATTCCTAATAGTTGCCTGCGACTGGAGGCTCGAAGGATAATCCCAGCATTCATACTACTCCACATCTGAAAGCTCTGATATAGACAACACAAATCACAGTGCGGAAAATTTGTCGGCGTGTCGATGATGATGCCGGTGACTTCTTCTGTGGGCTCGTACCTCCCTTCTCTTCACGATAGTACCCGTGTGCTCAGCAGACTTGTTGCTTTCCATGTTGCTGTCTGGAGAACCAAGTATACACGCCAGTGGGTCCTCCATGAGGTCTCCAAATGGTCTCTGCAAATAGAAACATGTAACAAAAAGCTTTTGACTATCTTGCAGGGAATTATTCAAAAAATTTGGATTCTTGACACAACTCACAGTGCTTATAATTCTCTGTCCAGAAATTAATCCAGGCCCATCATTTGAGCTCTTCACTTCGATCTCCTTCACCCTTTCCATAAAGGCGCTGTCAACATAAGTACGGCGTAGATGCCACCTGAAAAGTGTCCTATCTTGATACTGATCACTAAACAGATGCTCAGCAAAGAACTGCGTTTTTACAGCTTCAACCAGTGTTTTATCATCACTGTGCTTATTGAGTATTCTGTTAATGAAACAAGTAGTTAGTTGGAGCAGCTGATACACTATGAAATCATATTATTTGATTTATTTCACAGCACATACATGTTAGATAGCTCCATCTTCATGCGTTCTTCTCCATGTTTCAAAATGAATTCAGTACTTCCTTGCAAGATTGCATAATACATCACCTTTCCAGCAAACCATGAAGTGACTAAAATATGGCACCGGCAAATTAGCATTATCAAGGGAGAAGATAAAATTGAACATAATATGAATATAGAAGAGTCAATCCATCAAATATTTTTGTAGGTTGTGACTAAGGTTCACCGACTTCATTCCCCGAACCAATTTCATGTCCCAGACCATGTGAAAAGCGCTAGCAGGTTTCATCCACTGCTGAGTGTAGCTAGCGAACAACATACTTCATTAACTATTCTAAGTTGATTTTAAAAAATATAGTTTAAATGCATACATGGTGGCAAAAGTCATAATGCACACACAAATGGGTATAGCTATGGCTAGGAGTAGCCAGTCTGGAACCTTCAAATTTGACTTTGGTTTTGGAACTCAAATGCACGTTATGAAACTCAAAAAACAGGTACATATATGTTAATGCTTTCTACATATTGGTAGAGAATCCCCAGCAGTGGCATCCTATTAGGTTTTCAGTTCAATAATCATGTGCAAATCTCAATGAGCAAGCCACCTGTCTTTCCCCCTCATTCCCAGCAGAATTGTCCAAAAACTAGTACTAGTGTGGCTATGCTTTGCTCTTGGTCCAGAAAGAGTGATATAAAACTTGCCTGTGACTCGGCATGCCATCACTGAGTAATTAGGTAGAGAATACTACAGGGATTTTAGACACCAATATTATTTTTTTGTATGTGATAAATTGTTTATCTACCATCCAGTTAAATGCTATATTTTTCATATAAACCTCACCCAACCAAATCAAATACAACCAACCAAACAAAATCTCTTTCAAACTGCATCCCTCGTGTAAGCAACCAAACAAACTCTCATGCTAGCCAGGTCAAATCAATACAATCAACCAAACAGCTGCATGTGTATCACCTTAGCCAGGTCAAACTCAGCCTGTATGAGAGAGATGAGCCAGGCTAAGGGGATGCAAGCAACCAAACACACCCATAGAAGAGTCTCTAAAAGTTCCAAAGGGCCTTGAGATTTACCAGCAGCCATGGCGAATCTTGGTAGCCGAGGAAGAGATGGTTCACCAAATTTAGCTCCTGCACAACAGAAAATAGGTAAGTAACCATGTGTTTTGTACCTAAAGCAAGCCCTGCAAGGTACGACAATGATAGTTTTTCAAATTTACTTTAAATGAAATCGATTCTGTTAAAGCTAAATCGTTTCCTTTCTTTTAAATGAAAACAAGTACACGACTATATACCTACAATAAATGTTCAAGACCCAGTGAATACAAATATTAATAGAAAGCCCAAGCTTGTCATAAAACTAATCCAAAATGCTTCATATGTAGCATTCATGGTGTGCAAATTTTTAGAAGGCATAAAACCCGATCGTTATTCAGCATGAAAATGTAATTGATAATAATAGAAACAACACCACGTCTGGTGCAGAGCTTATGGAAGGTGATTAGAAAAATGACAACATTGATAAATCAGCTATGACAAAGGAACGGTAGATTCTTTTTCCATTTCAGTTAGATAAACTTTTATCAGACGAAATGGTTACTTAGAAAATGGGAAAATGCTTATTATTTTCTTCAAAGAGAAATTTATCAGTTTCAACCAGTATTGTAACTTTGAGCTTTGGTATATCACAAACATTTTTTATGTGAAAAATCATGCAGATGGCTTGAACTTATGAACTAACCTACATAGTATCCCAAGACGAACGACGTTTATAGACATCCTTAAGTCTAATTACCATCCAAACCTTGCATGGGAAATGTCATTATTGGAAATACCCATCCCAATCGAAAATGTCATCTAGCAATATCTAAAAGAGACATCCACAGCCCACAATTAGATGGTCGGTCTAGCGAAATCCTATAGCCATTTCATAATAATTCCATTCTACCCAACAAATACCTTTCTTAATCACTTGTGTAACTGCTGCTCGTGTACAACAACCACAAAATACAATAGCATCCCAGATTCACTCGAAACACAGGTGTATGGTTTTCGGGCCCGGTTTTCTCATAAACTGGGTCAATTCCTTTTTTTTTTTCTCTCTTCTTACTATATAACAGGAACTCACTCTCCTCTTTCTGAGTTTTGCCTCTAAAAAAAAGAAGACGCGTCGCGTGTGCGAGAGAAAAGCTCTCACCAACAATGCCGGGAACATAATACCCCACGGCGGCGATCGCCCCGGTGGAGATGGCCTTGCCCAGGGTCGCGACCACCTTCAAGACCTTCAATGTGGCCTCCTCGCGCAGCGTCATATCGCCCTACAGCAGCAGCAGCAGCAGAATCAGCAAACGCCAAAACCACAATCCAAGAAACCAACCACTGGTTACGGAAGGAGGCAAAAAGAAAAGAACCTTGGCCCGAAGGGATTCCTCCAGGTCGAGAAACACAGGGGGTGTCTCCTGCAACAGCAACAGCGGAAGGAACCGAAAACCCATCAAATCCCATCAGTCTCTCTCACCGCCGCACAGTCGGAGAGAGCTCAAGGGCAGGGGGGACGAGCAGAATCGGCCAAACCTGGCCTCGTAGGACGGCGGCGAACTCCTCCAGCATCACCATCGCCGTGGTCTCGTCCCCTCTCCTCTCTCCTCCCGTTCTTGCAAGGTTTGCGCGGAATGGGGGAGAAGCGGAGCGGCGGAGAGCAGAGCACACGGAGGTGAGGACGAAGGGGTAGTTTGGGCTCGGAACGGTCCAATGGGCCGTCGGGCGGCCCATAGTGCTCCGCGGAAAAGAATTTTTAACATTTTTAATTTTACTTATTAAAATATTTATAAAAATAATGTTTGGTTTTGAAGTTTTACAAATCTACATTTCTACACCCTGGTATGTTTTACCCCCCAAAATGGGATCCATTTACCGCTTTACATTTAGATGTGTGTGCACCTTGTTGCAATTTTTACTTCTTTGTTCAGGGCTTCAGGCACTAGCTCACAATGTGTTGCATAATTAGAGTTGTGTACTCCAGTGCACTAGAAATATTTTGCAAGCTAGGCTTTCCCATTTCTTTTTTGTGTGTAGAGAGATTATCAGTTAATTACATTTGATGTGGAGGCGTGGAGCGCAATTTCTCTTGTAGCAGTCTCTAAAATGCTCTTAGAGTTCAGTCGGTGCCTCATGAAAGTTTCAACAGTAGCTAGCATCCATTTTGCCTGGTTTCCCTGCAAGATGATTAAACTTCTTTTGTCAAGTTTATGTTTGCATATACATGGCACCTAGGTGTAAAAAATACTTTCGTATGGAGGATACTTGGTCAACATAGAAAGCAACAAATCCGCTGAGCACACAGGTACTATCCTGAAGAGAAGAGAGCTGCGAGCCCAGAAAAGAAGTCACCGGCATCATCGTCACAAATTTTCTGTACTGTGATTTGTGATATCCATATCAGGCCATCAGGGCTTCAGGGGTGTTCTACGATTATTCTTCGAACTTCCAGTCGGAGGCAACCATTAGTTATATGAGAATTCCGACATGATTATTCGCGTCCACAAGCAAAATGAAGTTCATAGGGATGTTCTATGTTTCTTCCATGTCTAGGAAGTTTCTGTTGGGTGCATTGCGGCCTTCTACTTCAAATAAAAACAGTGTTTTTGGCTTGCAATCTGATCATTACAGATTACTCACCCACCTGCAGTTCTGGATTAGTAAAATGTATAGATTGTCCCAATCCAATTATCATCTATCTATCTATCTTATAACCTGAAACGGAGGTAGTATTTATTTTTGTTGCTAATAAACCGTACGGATAAATGTAAGCGAACTTGTGATTCTGACAACTAAATCCTAGAGTTGTGAAGCTAGCACCTTGACGACCTCATCCGCCAGAGCACAGTGGTTCGTCTTCAGGTAATCGTACTCTTGTGTCGCCATGGCAGCTGCAAACTTCCCAGGGCTCTTAAGGAACTCGAAGCAAGCGTTCTTCAAGCCGGAGCATCCGTGTTGGTCGGCCAAGATCAGGATACTCGCCACGCTGGCCACCTCGATGTGCTTGCAAAGCTGAGCTTCGCATAGCAGCCTCAGCCGTTCCATCCCGTACCGATCGGCTGCGGCGAGGAGATGCTGCGCCATGGCGCGTCCCTCCTCCTCGAGCTCGCCCTGCTGCATCTGCGGCGGCAGCGAGTCGGTGTAGGCGTACCTGAGCAGTGCCTTGAACACGAGAGGATCCATGTCGTCTATCTTGATAGCGACGCCGCCTTGAAGGCCACCGCCTTCCATCATTGGGCCGTAGAGCGCGGCGGCGAGGACCGGCGACCGCGCCGCGAGCAGGCCCCTGTGGGCGGTGAAGGCCTCGCCGCCGACCTGGAACACGACGTCGCCGCCGCTCCCGGTGTCGAGCAGGCCGCCGAGGTCGCGCCGCAGCTCGGAAGGTGGCACCGAGACGAACACCGGCTCGTCCTCCTGCGCCGTGAAGTGGTCGATCAGGGACACGTCGCACCGTATCGTGAAGAACCCGTCGGGCCTGATCCGCTTCGACCTCGCAAGATCATCCCTCTTCACGAACCTGTGATATCCCCAACAAGCTCCCGGTGCAATGGTGATCACGGGGGCCTTACGAAGCTGCGACTGCTTCTTGGCCTCATCGTCGAAGGTGATCGTCACCTGCAGCATCGCCGGCTTCGGAGAAGAGCTGTCCAGGCACAGGAACACTGATATGAACTCGGCGTTCTCCGGGCGGTTGCCGTTAGGGTAGTAGGAGATTCTCCACTGCCGCCCGCCGACGACGAAGTCGCGGGACGAGAGCGCCCACCCAGTGGGGGATCCCAGGCTGCGGTAGTAGTCTATCCTGAGGCGGTGGTAGCCGCTCGTCGTGGGCGCCTTGATGGCGGACGCCGGCTGCTGCGACGACGGCGACGACATGGGGAGGAGATTCTTCGGTGGGGTTTCTTGCTCGCCTTCTCCTCCCTTCCGACACGAGTTTTGCTATTGGGTTCCATGGGGAGGAGCAGAGGAGGGGAGGGAGAGAGAGAGAGAGGGAGAGGTGGGAGACGATCTATCTCTCCACCCATGCATGCCTCGCGATTTTGCTAAATTGCTATCGCCCAGATTAGGGGTGGAAAAAAAGGTTGGGCTCGTGAGCTCAGCTCGGGCTTGGCTCGAGCTCGCTTACCTCGGCTCGGTTTGAATGCCAAACGAGCCAAGCCCAAGCCTACTTTTCAGCTCGTTCCTGAAACGAGCCGATCCTGAGCTTGCTCGTGAGCCGCTTGATTTGGCTCGTGAGCCTAGGCCATCATGTATTTATATGGATGATTTTATTTTCTAGTAGAGTTATTATTTGTCAATATGTAATTTATTATCTATATTTTGATGAAATGAATATATAAAGTTATTTTAATTTTACATGTTGATGATTTGTTATTATTTTCTTAATGATTGTAAATTCTATAGCTTCAACGGAAGACTCGCAAGCCAGATCGAGCTGGCTCGAGCCAGGAAACAAGCCGAGCCGAGCTCATGTTTTAGCTCGTTTTCCAAACCGAGCCGAGCCAAGCCAAGCCTAACTTGTTACGAGCCATTGCAAGCTGAGCCTTGGCTCGTTTCCAGCCCTAGCAGAGATCCTCGCCGGCCTATGGGTTTCCACGGCCCATTTAGCTGTTCAGAGCCCAAACTTCCCTTCGTTTTCCAAACAGAAAAGGAGGGATAATAAGAGGGGTATGTATATTCATCCCTGGAGGGATATCCCTTCGTGCATACCATCTAAATAATCATCAGGAAATTTAAAATAAATTGATAAGATAGATTAATATCAAATATATCACTTCACAAATATACAAATTAAAATTCAATTTATATAAGTTGTAATAAAAAATGAATATTACAGTGAATATATGTTTTCAGTTTAATTTGATTTTTCGTTGTAACTTGTAGAAGTCGAATTTGGCTTTACATGTTTGTGGAGTGATATATTTCATATTAATCTATGTTATTATATTTTTCATTTTTTTAGAACTACTAGTATTCAAGTATTTGAAACAATGCCATAATAATTTTACACATATTTAAGACATGCTGCTATATACTCCTTGGATACATTTAAAAAAGATTGGACAAATTGCCCTTCTTCTGTAGCGCCCGTTCCGTCGTGGCGCCTAGCGGAAAAATTATCTCCTAAAAACCCTAATTGCGAAATCTGTTTCTTTGCTTGTTGTCTAGTGTCCGTGCCATCTCAAGATCTCAATCCCCGATCTATCGTCGAGTTCAATTCTGAATCCAAATCCTTCCAAATCAAATTCCTCCGCAAAAGTCCATTTTGCCTCCCCCGGGGTCGATGGGCCGATTTTCTCTCGGCCCATCTTCCCCTCTCCCCCGGCCCTTTCCCCTCTCTCCCCGGCGCCCTCTCTCTCTCTCTCGCTCTCTCCCCCGGCGCGCTCCCGCTCCCTCTCTCCCTCTCTCCCTCCGCTCCGCCCCGCGCCGCGCGCGCGAGCGCGCGTCGCCGCGCCAAGTGCCCCTCCCTCGCGCGCCGCGCGCAAGCGCGAGCGCCGCGCCCTGCGCCTCTCTGCTCTGCCCGCGCGCGTGCGCGTGAGCTGCCCGCGCCGAGCCGAGTCTTCCCTCTCCGCTCCCTCGCTACCGCTCCCCGCGCTCGTTCGCGCGCGCGCCCGCGTGGTTGCCGCCCGTGTCGCGTCGCGTCTGCGCCGCCCGGTCCCGCTGCCCTGCCGCCTTCAGCCGCGCAGCCGCTTGGCCCCACGAGCCAGCGCGCGTGCCCGAGCCGCGCCACTCCATCCGCCGCGCCTCCCGTTGCAAGCCGCGCGCGCGTGCCGTGGTGGCCGACCGCCCGGTCGCCGCCGCCGTCAGCCTCTGCACGCGCCTGTCGCCAGTGTCGCCGCTCCGCTCCAAACCGCCCCGCCGTCATCGCCGTCGTCATCACCCGGCCCCACCACTCCGCGCGCAAGCCGCCAAGGGATGGAGGCAGCATCCCTCCTCCCTCTGCCGCGTCGCCCCCGCTCACCTCCTCCTTTTTCCCGAATCGGCAAAGGGGCAAGCCCCCTTTCTCCCCCTCCTTTTCCCCTTTTTCCTCCTCGCCGGCGTCATCCTCCCTGTCGCCGCTTTGGCCGCGACCGCCGAGCGCCAGCTCGCGCCCTTGACCGCGCAAGTCGGTTCCCAAACCGACATTGCCGCCCATTTAAAACCCCAGCCTCCCCTTTCCCTTCCTCTTCCATTCGCCTCCGTGCCATTGCCGCCGCCCTCGTGCTCTGTCTCGCCTCCGCCGTCCTTCGCCGAGCGCCGGGAGAACCGGTGCGTTCGAGGACGCGGAAGGGGACTTCGGCCGCGCCCTCTCCTTCCTCTTCCCCGGCCCGAGGCCGGAGAGATTACTCTCGCGCCGTCGGCCTCTCGTCACAGCACCCCGTCCCGCACGGTAGTGTCTCCCTCCGTTCTTCCTCCTCGCTCCATCTCCCCCCCCTTAGTTTTCGGTGTTAGCACGAGTGGACTCCCCGTAGCTAGCCGGCGCCGCCCCAACCGTTGCCGTCGCTCGCCGTGTGCTCGCCGCCGTCGCCGCTCGAGCTCCGTAGCACCCGCACGTCGCCAGCCTCGCTCGGCGTAGCTCCGTCCAATCCGACGCTAGCATCGAGTTCCCGAAACCGCGTAGATGCTCTCACCGCCGGGAATCGACCCCTCGTGGCCTCGTCGCCGTTTCCCTCTTCCCTCCCCGCCGGTTGTCGCCGCCGCGATTCGCCGCCGTCAAGCTCCCTCCGGTGAATCCGAGCCGTTGGCTCGTCTCCCCTCATCACGAACAACCGCCCGGTGTGCTCGCTTTTGCCCGTATCGCCGTGGTTCGCTCCGCCGCTCGCCGCCGCCGCCCGCCGTCCATTCGCGGCCGGGTCGTCGTCTACCTCCCGCCAGCCCACGTGGCAGCCACGTAGGCGCCACGTCGGCGCCAGCTCAGCCGAGGTCGGGACGGGCCAACCCCGGTCAGTCCCTCCCCGTGCGCGCGTTCCACCGCGAGTCGTGAGGCTGCGCGTGGGCCCGCCGCACCGGCGTCCACCGCGAACCGCGTGCGTGCACCACGTCCATCCTCCACCCTAGCACCGCGCCGCGTGCTCCCTCCGCACGGTGAGCCGAGCCGACAAGCGGGTCCCACCCGGGACTGCGCGTGGTGAGCCCGGTCCACCGGACTCTCTCTCCTTCCTCGGCGCGCGCGCGTCTTGGGCCGCTCTGGGCCGCCTTCTTGGGCCGGCCGGCCCGTTAAGCTCGGCCGAACCGCTCTTTCTCTCGGGCCGCACCCTAGCTGCCCGAGAAAAGTCTATAATCCCTCCCTCTTTTCTTTTCTTTATCTTTTCCAAAAAGGATTTAATTAAATCCTTTTCCTTTAGACCAAAAATCCAATAATCTTAGAAATTCAATATCTTCCCCACCGTAAATCCGTTTGACTCCGTTCAACTTCCAAAATTCCCCAAATCTCGAGATCTACCTAATGGCACACTTAGAGGTCATTAATAAGGCTTTGTTTTCGCCGTTTGTTGAGTTGTCCCGTTTCGCGTGTAGTTTCGGAGCCCGAAGACCCGCAGTGCGAGGATTTCGAGGATCAAGCTCCAGATCTCGAGCAAGGCAAGCCACCTTTGAATATCTTGAGCCTATATTTGAAATTTAATTATATTGCTTGCAAAATATTATGCATTGATAGGATCGCACTTAATCTGTTGTCCCGTCTGCAAGGCAGATTGGCGGACCTGCCTAATTTGTTGCATTTGATCCTTCCTTTGTTAATTGTTATACCATGTCCCCTTGTAACCACCCAATTGCGCCTCGATATTCGTGCACTCTGTGCGAGTATCGACGGTCGCCTTCAAACTTAAAATCTGAAAAACAACTTGGGTAAAACTTGGGTTTTACAAAAGACTTGGAAAACCCGACACCTGGGTCGGTGCTTGCGAACTAAATGAATTTCTAAAACCGCGGACCGGGGAACGTACCGGGTGTACGGTTTTCCCACTCCCGCACTTAAGGACCGATTCCTTGGAATTTCATCCGAACATAAGACAAGTACGACCACATGGGTGGAATGGGACACCCCTGGCTGAGTAACTAGCTTATCAGGAGAGCCATGATGCCGAGAGACATGTGGATTCACCGGGGTGGTGTCGGAGAGGACCCCCCTGGGCTTCCTGGCACAGTATGGTCTGGGACCTAACCTGTTGTTGGTCTGGGACCCCTCTCGTCGGCATATGGTAAGCCTGTGTCGGCTTTGGAAATGCCTTGTCATGAAAGCTTGGAGGTCTCCCGACGTGGCTGATCCCCACGGGCTGGGTGATCCGGGTTAGTAATGTCGTGTGGGTAAAGTGTACCCCCTCTGCAGAGGTTAACAAACTGTTCGAACAGCCATGCCCACGGTCATGGGCGGATGTGAGGTGATTCCTAGCGTAGTTTTGTTTGACAACTGCTTGTGAAATTACTGTTGTGAAAAGGGGTTCGATGTTTGAAAAATCAGCAGCTGACGGGATCAGCTAGGCCCGGGTGGCCGTTTGAAAAGTTGTTGGCCCGGGTGGCCGTTTGAAAAGTTGTTGGCCCGGGTGGCCGTTTGAAAAGCTGTTGGCCGGGTGCCAACCTTGTTTTAAGATCTAAAGATTGTTGCACATACTCCGACCGGACGGGACGCACTGTCTCAACCGTGTCGTTTGAGAAGCACTCACCTAGATGTTTTTAGAAAAGAGTTCAAATAAAATCAATTACGAAAACAACAGCCTTTCCTTGAAGCCTGCATTAAACACTTATTTCCCCTGGCTTGCTAAGTACTCCCGTACTCACCCTTGTTCTATATAAATATTTCTCCCCCCCAGTTGCTGATGAAGATGAAGCGGATCCTGCTGATGAGGAGTTCTTCCAGGAGCAAGCCGGTTACGATGAGTTTTAGGGTTTCGGCCTAG